GAAGGCGTCGCAGCGCCCTTCTTTCGCGAAGCCAAGCGCTTCGGAGCTGTTAAAAAAACGCGAAGGTGTGCATGGGGCAAGCGGCCAAGGGCGCCGCATTTGATAACCTCCTGGTGGCTTGGAGCTCCAAGGAAGGGCCCAGGGGCGCCGCATGCTCGGTGTCATACGCTTGCAACCCGAGTGGCGCGCATGGGAGGAAGCCGCGGGCGCCGCACGCTTTATTGTCATGGGGTTTGCAACCCCACGGCCGGCCGAAGTGGCGCCGCAGGCTGTCTTTTCATAGGATTGGAGCCCCAGGGGACGGAGAGGCTTGCGGGAACGCCGGTAGCTGCGGCTGAGGGTTAAGGGTTTTATTCGTTGGTCGAACCAGCGGAGCTGCATACGCGCGGCGAGCGACTCCCTCCTCAGCGCTACGCGCTTCGTCGGTGTCGCGTACTCTGTGCTGGCAGGCTCAATGAGCGCTCGGCCAGGCGCCACGTTTTACGGACATGGCAACGCCCGCGGCTTGCACTTTAGGGTTTAGGATTTAGGGTCTGCGGTGCGGACGGGGGGGGCATCGTCGCCCAGTAGTGGAGGGGAAAGTTGGAGGCGATGGCAGGGGCGAACAGCCCAGGGGCGAGCATTGCACGCATTCTCCCTGGACCCCCGCCGAAGACGTGGACCATCGGCGCCCCCCCCCTACATGTATTGCCCCCTTCTGTGGGCAATTCGCCCCCATCGCCGCCCCCCCCCCCCCCAGAAAGAGAGAGAGAGAGAGGGAGAGAGAGAGAGAGAGAGACAGACAGAAAGAGAGAGAGACAGAGAGAGGGAAGAGAGAGAGAGAGAGCGGCCTTCGGAGATGCCGAAATCGAGGGACAAAAAACCAGGAACTGATGTTTGGCAATCTTCCGAGTGGTGCATACCCCCCCTTTCTTCATCTTCCTTCTTTCCTCCTCCTCCTCCTCCTCCTTTCCCCTTCCTCCTCCTCCTCCTTCTTCCTCTTCGCCCTCCTCCTCCTCCTCTTCCTCCTCCTCCTCCGTCTCCTCCTCCGTCTCCTCCTCCTCCTCCCCCTCCTCCTCCTCTTTCGCCGCAGGAGTACTGCCTGTACGGGGTCGTTCTCCTCCTCATTTGGCCTGGCGCGCCCCGGGCTGACGCCGTCCCCCTACGACGCCGGGCAGCCGGGGCCGCCCTCGCCGCCGAGGATCCGGCGGGGCAGGAAACTCGCCAGCGCCGAGGGCACCCGACTTTCTCAGTCTTGCCGCTCCCGCTTCTCCTCCTCGCCGCTCCTTCATCCTCAGCCTGATCTCGCTCTGTCTCTCTCTTTCTCCGCTTTCGTTCCTCCCCACTTTTTCCGCCTGTCCTCCTCCTTGTGTTCATTCATCCTTGGCCGCCTCCTCTCTCCGCGTATCATTCCCCGCCTTCCTCCTGAAGCCTTCCCCTTCCTGCCCCCCCTCCTTATCCGAGTTCTCCTCCTCCTCCTCGTCCCTGCTCGCTCCTGCCCCCGCCGTCGCTCCCCCTCCACCCCCTCCCCGTCCCCCCCCCTCCTCCTCCTCCTCCTCCTCCTCCTCCTCCTCGTCATCATCATCATCACCACCATCATCCTCATCATCATCATCATCATCATCATCATCGTCATCATCATCCTTCCACTTCTTTTTCTCTCCTCCTGCTTTCTCCTCCTGAATTGCTTATTCCGGTTCTCCTCCTTGTCCGCTTCCTTTCTCCTCCTGAAGTGCTCATCCAGAAGTGCTCATCCAGATCTCCTCCTCCTTGGGGGAAAGGGGAGCAGTCAAAGGGTCCCACACGCCTATTCACATCAACTTCCGTCTCCTCCCCTCCTCCTACTCCTCCTTTGCTCCTTTCTCGTCCTCCTGTCCCTCGTTCTCGTTCTCTTTCTCTTTCAAATCCTGCTCTTTCTCCTCATCCATGCCTTTTCCCTTGAAAGTGAACTCCTCCCTGTTGCACATCCAGACATGTTAGGAAAGCTGGCCAGGCGTTTCGCCTGTGGCTTCCTCACCACTTTTGATCCGGAAGCTTGACACTTGCTTCAGGTTCCAGGCTCGAGTGCGGCTGTTTTTTGTACATGTGGCTTTCGCCTTAGTGCCATGCGCATTCGCCTTACAACATTCTTAACCGTTTCAAGGGTGGAGAGTGGGTGGTTGTATTAAAGTTGTGGCTCTCGTCTGAGCGCCGCGCACATTTGTTTTACCAGGTTGCAGCAATTTCGAAGATAGATGGCGGTTCCTATTCACAATGTGGTTCTCGCCGTAGTGCCGCACACATCTGTGTTACAGCATCTCCAATGATTTGTAAGGTTAAGATCCTTGGAAATGTGCAACTCCCAGGAGTGGTGTTCTGGTACGGTTTAAGATTCTCAGGATGGAACAGTCAAGTTGATTTGCGGCGTTGAAACTCCAAGGACGGTGATCCAGCAGGACTGAGGACTCTCAAGCGGTAACCTTCCAATGGGGCACTTCCCGCAATGTATACAATTTGTTGTTGGGACGTGTGAAGGGGTAACTCGGCGAGAGGTTTTTTTGCAGCATCGTTGGTGCGTCTTGGGTTGACACTGGTCGTCCTCCTCCGCCTCCTCCCCTTCCACACCGGCGGCACGGCGTAAAAGGGCCCTGGGCCTTGTCCGGTGATGGTTTGAATGCGTTGACCCGCCACAAGTGTTCGTAAGAAAAACCCGGCACAATGTGTTGACCCAGCCCGGCGCCTCCGGCGCTGCCCTTGGCGCGGTGCGCGCACCAGGGAGGGGGTACGGTCCAGCGCAGATCCAAGAGATCCGCGCGCAACGCCGAAAACTTGTGTTCATGCCTGTGTTGGTTCCTCCACCTGCAACGCTCTCTTCCCTGGGACCCTCTGGACCTCGTGAGGGCGTGCTCCATGGGGGCCGTGGCGGCCTCCCTGGAGATAGTGGGGGCACCTTGGGCCAGGGGTACTCCTAGCAACACCCGAGATGTTCGTACCCATCGGTCGTTGAAAGTAGGCAGTTCTGGATTCCCATATTCCAATCTGCTTAAAGCCCCTTCCCATTTCAGTGATCGAGTGGCTTCTCCTTCTCCGTTCTCCCGAGGGGGCGGACGGAGCCCGATCCACTCTCAACGCCTTCCTACTCCATGTTTCTACCCATTTCTTCCGACCGATCGGTGTTGTTCAGTGCGGCGCTCTTCCCACCTCCCCGCGGGCAACACGGCCCACCGCGCGTCTCGTCCAGGCTGAGGGCAGGCCCGGCTCCCCTCCCGCGTCCCCCTCGCTTCCTCTTCGCGCCTCACTCTACGTTTCTCCTCCGCTTTCTCCTCGCTCTCCGTCCTTCCCTTTTCTACTCCCCCAATCTTCCTTCCTTCCTCCTCCATCCTTCCCCCTCCATCCTCCCTCCTCCTCCATCCTTCCGCCTTCCTTCCTCCATCCTTCCCCCCCACGTTCTCCGTCATTCCTCTCTTTTCCCTTCGCTCCTTTGATTCCGGTTGTTCCCTCCTCTCTCCTTTTTTCGTGTGGGGGGTATGTTATCTTTCTTCTCCGTTCTCCCTTGTTGTTGTCTCTTTCTCTATCTCTCTCTCTTTCTCTCTTACTCTTCCTTTTCGCTTTCTCTCGCTTTCTCTCTCTCTCTCTCTCACTCTCTCTCTCTCACAGTCTCTCTCTCTCTCTCTCTTTTGTTATCTCTCTCTCTCTCACACTCCCTCCCTCCAGCGCTTCTTTTTTCCCCTCTCCCTCTCTCTCTTTCTCTCCGTCCCTGTCTCTAACGTCGTTTCATGCTGTTAGTGATTATCTCTCTTTCTCTCTCTCTCTCTCTTTCTCTCTCTCTCTCTCTTTTTGTCTCTCTCTCTCTCTCTCTCCCTCTCCTTGTCTCTCTGCCTCAGCTGGCCGTCGTGGCCCTCCTCCGCCTCCTGCTCTCCCCCCTCCGCCCGCGGGGAGGGGGCTCGGATCTGGCCGCCCGCGGCGAGGCCCCGCTCCTCGCCTGTGGACGCCCCCCGCGCCGCAGGAGCCCCGCCCGCACGGGGCCCAGCTCCTCGGCCTCCGGCACCTGCCGCCCGGGCCCGCCGCCCACCTGCCAGGACCGACGGGCCTGCTCTCCACCACCACCACCATACGTTGGAGGGGGCAGGAGGAGGAGGAGGAGGAGGAGGGGGAGAAGGAGGAGGCAAAGGAGGAGGAGAGGGAGGAGGAGGAGGAGAGGAGGAGGAGAAGGAGGAGGAGGAGGAGGAGGAGGAGGAGGACAACCTCCCCCTCCTGCTTGTGGTGGTGGCGGCGGGAAGCAGGCCCACCAAGGACTTCGGGCGCGCGGGGCCGCCCCCGCCGGCGCGGGCGCCCGCGAGCCCCGGCCCGGCGTCCTCCACCTCTGGCAGGACCTCTGGTGTCGCGTAATAGTAAGGGGGGGGGGGGGGGGGGGGGGGGGGGGCGATAATCGAAGAAGAAAGGAGCGCCGTGAACATACACTTTTGGCGCTGCGCGCTGATTTCTCGGATCCGGGCTGGGCCCCCCGTCGGCGCCTGGCGCGCTGCGCGCGCCAGGTAGGGGGGTCTAGCGCAGATTCACGAAATCCGCGCGGATGGCCAACAGTTTATGTTTATGGCGTTTTTTCTGGATCAACCCAGACCCACTCGCGGTGTGAAACAAAATTGCGACGGGAAGTTTTCACTATTTTCGGCCTTTGGGGGCCCCTCACCGGGCCTCGGGAGCGTCAAGAACGATTGGGGACGACGGACGACACACCGGTTCCAGGGAGGGGGTCCAGACCTCGGGGGGTCGACGTTTAGAAAAAACGCGACATCGGGGGTCTGGGAATGGGGGGGGGGACAGCAAGGGCTGCAGAAAATGGGCCCGAGCCCCTGAAAGGGGCCCTCCAGGGCCCCACAGGGGGCTTCTAGGGCCCGAGAAGTGCACCTTTCTCCCCCCTGCCGAACAATCGCCCCCCCATCAAGCGACGCCCACAGGATGAAGCCAGGCCCGCCACCTTCTGCTGCTGACGCATCAGAGCCCGGGCCGACCTCGCCCCTGCGCAGCCCCGCCCGGCTGGGCCCGGCGACCCCGCCGTCTGGCCGCCTACGCATGGGGCCCTCGTCGTCCACTTGTGACGTGAGCTGGTCGGGCCCGACGCCGCCCCCAAGAGGAATCTCGAGGGCTGGACCTGCGTCTCCGCCCTCCGGTCTCGCACGGCCAGGGCTCCCGACGCCAGCGCCGGACCACACGCGGCCGGGCGCACCGCTGTCCTTGCGCAGCACGGTGCGACTAGGCTCCGCGTTCCCCACCTCCAGCTCGGCCACCGCTGGCCACGGGCCTAGCTGCTTGCGTCCTGCTCTCCTCTGAGCGGAGCCAGCTCTGATCGGCGGCGCGCACAGGAGTCGGGACGATCGAAATGTAGAAAGAATGGGTACAATGGCCAACAGCAGTTCCTGTTCATTCTGAACAGGATTCGCTGTCTGCGCCGCCGCGGGCGTTGTCCATTGAAGACAAAAGCCGCCCGCCAGACAGCGGCCGCTGTCGGTTTTGGACAGCATGTGTTGTTGGGCCTCGTACCCCTCGGTCGTTGAAAGAAGTACTTTTGGATTCTCAGATCCCAATCTCCTTTGAGCGCCTTCCTGCTTCAAGAGTCGAGCGGCTTTCCCTCGTCCCTCCTCTTCGGGGGGCGGGCGGAAGCCCAATCTAACTACTTCCAACGCCTTCCTTCTTCATGTTTCTACTTACTTCTTCCGACCGATGGGCGCCCATGTTTTCCGTACCCGTTCAGGGCGCCCAAAGAGGGGGTGGCGCGAGGGAGGGGGGTGCTCTCAGTGCGGCGGGGGGGGCTCTTCGGAGATGGGGGCCTCTCCAGAAGTGCCCAGAGGTCTCTTCGGCGAGGCCGCTCCGACGCCTCGGGGCGCCCTGCCTTCTGAGGCGCCACCCGCCTTCTCACTCAGAAGGCCTGCCCCCCTCTCCCCTCGTGCCCCCCCCCCTTCTAGAGCGCGCCGCCAATTCAAAGTGTCGCGAGCTCGAGCCGACGTGATGATTCGTGGTCGTGCGACCATGTGCCTTGGGGAGGTCCACCGTTGTGCCAGCGCAGCTCTCTGTGCGGCGATCCTCCGAACGCCGCCCATGACAATGTAACTTGTGACCGTTTTCGCCATTCGGCTCTGGAGGGCCGTGACATGAGATGACGTGGGTCGGAGGCTTTGCAACGCCGTTCGGAGCGTCCTGAAGCCCCCCTGGAGCGTCTTTAGAAGAAGAATAAGAAAACGGCATAAACATACATTGTTGGCGCTCCGTGCGGATTTCTTGCGCTCCGCGCGCCAGGGAGGGGGGTCCAGCGCAGATCCGAGAAACCCGCGCGGAGCGCCACAAGTTTATGTTTATGGCGTTTTTTCTTCGTCGAGTCTTGAGGGGGGGGGGCCTCTTCGGAATTTCTGGGGGGCGTCTTGGGCGCCTCTGGAGGCCCTGGGGAGGAGGCTCTGGGCGGGGCCTCTTGGCAGCCGCGCGGGCCAACCCCTGGGGCGTCGGCGCTCCCTCGGGGATTCCTTTTGGGGGTTCTCTGCGGCTTCTTGCGTGGACTCTGCAGCACTCGGGAGATCCTCTTGGGGACTCTTGCGGCCTCCCCATGTGAAAAATCACGACGGGAGGTTTTTCGCTGCGTTCGGCCTCCGCGGGCCCTTGCTGGGCCTCGGGACCACCAAAAACCGATTCGGGATGAAACACCTGTCCCGGGGAAGAGGTTCAGACCTGTTGGGGTCAACGTTTCTGACGGAAAACATGACGTCGGTGGTCTGGGTCTTGGGCTCTCTTCGACTCTTCTTTGGCATCTCGGGGGCGTTGGATCACGGGAGGCTTCGGGACTTCCGCACAGCATCTGGAGGAGGAGGATCTCTGCACCCGTTTTTTATCTGTCACTGCAGAGTCCGTGGCGCTCGATGGCGTATCCCCGTTCGCGACCTGCCGATTACGAGCATCGGCCGGCAGGGAGCGCTGGAGCACCTCGGCTCACTTGTGTTGCTGGCTTTCATTGAAGTTGGCCTGCCACGGCATGGGGCTTGAGGCGCGGGGACGCCAAGACGATCGCTCGTCGTGCATCGCGGGGCGCGATGATGCGCGAAGTTGGGTGACCTAGAGGGGAGAGAACGGGTCATGCACGCGGCGCCATGCGACGAGGGGGGGGCCTTGACAGAAATGCAGAGACCCCGCGATACGACACCTGACACTTCATCACCCCGCCGCGTGCCGAAGGGCCTCAAGCATGTCGCCAGCTGTTTTGGGGCCACGCTCAGAGGGGGAGGGGTCGAGCCTCGATCCTCTCAATCCTCGACCCTCGATCCTCGAGCCTCGGCCCTCGATCCTCGATCCTCGATCCTCGATCCTCGATCCTCGATCCTCGAACCTCGATCCTCGATCCGCGATGCTCGATGCTCGAACCCTCGATCCTCGACCCTCGACCCTCGATCTCGAATGCTGGCGGGAGCGCTCGACCCGGCGCCCGCTCCGCCTCGCCGGGGCCGCCCTTCTCTGCTTCTGCACTGTGGGCAGCGAGGCGTCGCCGCCATGCCTCAGAGGAGGAGAACTCGACTACACTTCAGTCGGGCACGTTGCTCCGCAGGAGGAATACCCAAGAATAGGTTTAAAGACGGATGGTTCGACTATGTTTGGATGTCTGGAAATGTTTGGACTCTTTTTTATTTCTCGTCCAGAATCCGCCTGTGGGGGGACATGCCCGACCTAAGACTACACGTAGGAGTCACCCTTCGCCGGAGTGAACTCTGGTGCGCGCCTACTGGGGTCCCCGATCGCCGAGTGCCGTGATCTGGTTGACCCAAAAGAGGGTCCAGCGAGAAGAGGATTGTGCAGTAGATTCGGTGCAATAGATTTGCGGGCTGCAGTAGTTGTGGAGTGTGCGGTACATTCCGGTGCGCCTATGTATTGCTGGATCTTCGCGTGCAATACCTTAGTTGCAATACAATGCAAGACAATTATTTGGCGCAATACATTTGCAATACAATTGCCCCAACTTTGTTGCATCATCCCCTTGCAGCTGGACCCCCTTGTGGGTCACAAGGAGGTGAGTTTGTGACGTCTTGCGCGCGTGCGTTTGGTCCCACCGTGGCCCTGAGAGAGCCGCGCACCAGAGGTCACTGTTACCCAGGGTGACTCTTACCCATGGTCGCCAAACATGTATGACGGTCAGACCGAGGTGTAAGATCGAGGTCGGTTCGGGGAGGGTATTTCGTGCCAGTTGGATGTTCGTATGCATCCTGAGGAAGGGTGCCCTCAAATGTACTTCAGTTTGGCAGGCGGAGGGTCTCATGTTCTTGAAGGATGTGTTTCTGTCCTTGGTCCGACCGTACTAGCGGATGCCAGGGCAGACCACGCCGTCTGCACGCACGGGTTTCTGCTAGCCGCGCGGGCGTCTTGGGCTTCGAACGAGGAACAACAGGCACCGATACCGTTATCTTTTTGTTGTTCTCGTTTTTGTCGGCCCTCACGGGATGCCCTCGTCGTCTCGGCTGGATTCGCCTCGACATTCTGGTCAGAACACACCCCAGGAAAAGGTCCGCGGAGTAGCGGTATCGGATTTTTTGTTGGTTTTCCCATTATCGGTCAATCTGATTCGGGATCGCTGGCTGCTTCCTTGAGAGGGCGGTTTTGGGTGTCACCCGTGAGGACGCGGAGGTCATGGCGCCTCGCGCGCCTCGAACTCGGCGTCGCGGTCTCGGGGCACAGGTCGCCAGAGCTTGCGTTGCATCCTCGGTGGACCTCGTCTGTCTCCAAACTCGGTGTGCCCGTCGCCAGCTCTCAGTGCGGGCTCGACGTGGTGCCCCGACGATGCGACCCAACGAAGAGCGCTGTGCCCTTGTCCCATGGAGCGGCGTGCTGGCGCGACGGCGCGCAGGTGATGGCGCGTCGCGGGTCGTGGGGCGCGGTGTGCGCGACGTTAGTCGAGGGAGGGACAGCCACCCAGACCCCGTCAATTGGCGTTGACTGAACTCGAAGACGAAGTAAGAACGGCATCAGCAAACTGTTGGCGCTCCGCGCGGATTCCTTGGATCTGCGCTGGAACGCTCTGGCGGCGCCTCCTGCGCCGCCCCTGACGCGCTCACCGCCCCTGGGAGGGGGGTCCAGCCCAGATCCAAGACATCTGCGCGGACCGCCAAAAGTGTATGTTTATGCCTTTTTTCTGCTCCTCTAGAAGCGGCCCTGGGCGTTTATGAAACGGCCTTGCCATGTTCGCTTCCTTCCTCGGGTGCGTTTACGAAACGGCTGCGCTTGTCGGGGTGGTTCTATCAATGGGCGTGGATGTTTGGTCCTCTGGTTAGGTGACCTGGGTTTGAAGGGGTGGCGTGCTTCAGGCTCCAATGAGCCTGTGATCCGGGGCCGGTTCCCGGCCCTGCGGGGGGGGGGGGGGGGGGGGGGGGGCAGGCGAGCCTGGCCGAGGCGGACGGGGTTTGCCCGTTGTGCGCACTTCCCTCGATCAGGAAGTATCGTCTGCAGCGGAGGCCCATGCCAAGAAACACCCTGCTTGCCTCCAGGGTGCCCTGGGTTTCTTGGTTCTCGACGGTTATGCTGTGGAGAGCGCGACGTCTCACACCAGAAATCAGGGGACGTCCTGGGGTCTCAAGGCTCGGTCTCTTGTGGAAGGTCTCTTGTGGTCGGATCCCTATTGTTCATAGGGCAACAAACAATGGCATAAACAAAAACTCGGAGGTCCGCGCGGATTTCTCGGATCTGTGCTGGACCCCCCTCCCTGTCGCGCGGAAATCGCCAGGGGCGGCGCCGGAGGCGCCGCCAGGGGGGTCCAGCGCGGATCCTAGAAATCCGCGTGGACCTCGGAGTTTTTATGTTTATGTCATTGTTCGTTCGCCTAGTTAACCCATGCCCGTCCCCATGGGGCCATGGCATCGCAGCCTCACTGGCCCCCCTTCCCGAAGTAGACGGGGACAGGCCCCGCGAAGCCCGCAGGAGCATAGGCACAAATCTGCCCACCTACCGGTGGGTACGTCGGCCAGCGGGGCCACGCGCCAGTGGCGACGGGGATCGGACAGAGGAATGAATGAGTGAAGCCGTGTGTCCGTAGGCACATGAGCAATGGCACGAACGTGCGCTAGACAGTATACTTGCGCACCGCTGCTTTCCAGGCTTCCGCTGGAAACGTGACCAAATCTTGTAAGTTCAAATCCGAATCCCGACAAATCTGCTTAGCATGATCGGACAAAGGATGTAACAGATGAGATGATGAGATGCCTTGCCTTCTCGGCGTGGAGGCCCGGGAGGGCGGCCAGGATTTTGGTGGGATGCCACGGTCTGTCCCTCTACAGGAGGACTATTCAAAAATAGTGAAACATATTGTGGGGACGATTTTCTGGACACATTTTTTTGATATTGCTAATTTCCCTCCAGAATCCGCCTGTAGGAGGACATGCCCGACTTAATCCTAGATGGGGTTGGAGAAGATGGGGTCGGAGGATCGCGCCTCATCGCCGATGCATTGGCGATGCGGCTCGATGTGGGGCCCAATTTGCTCCGCGCCGAAGTCGCGCATGTAACTATCGCCGACGTCTGCGATGCATCGCCGATGCATCTGCGATGAGAATTGGCGATGCATGGGCGATGTGGCGCGATCCTCCAAACTCCATCTACTCGCACCCCATCTAGGAGGCCTCCAGCCACGGGAGGGCGGGACGAGAGATCAGCACGACCGAAAGGGGTATGGAAGCAGTGTGGACGAGGACCGGCAGCCGTTCCTGTCCTATGGTGCGTCGGGGCGCACGCAACGGGGGTCAGCGCCCACGGCGGTCAGCCATTCGATCCCCTGTGGCTGGCCTGGGCCTGCGAGCCACGTGGGGCCGGTGCCCCCCGCCCTCCGCCGGCCCGGGCCCGGGAGCCGCTGAGCGGCCGGCGAGGCTGCGCGACAGGGCCCTGGCCGACGCGGGGTGGGGCCGACCCGGGTGAGTCTAGCAGCGGCGAAGCGTCCTGGCTCGCCTGCGGGCCCCCTCAGATAATGTTCTGACAACCTTTTTTTTGAGAGTTTCGCCGAGTGTTCTTAGAGCCTTTCTGCGTGGCACTGTCTTGTCTTGGCACATCGGGCTCACCTTCTAAGAACTTTGCTTGCGTTATTTGAACATGTCTGGCGCCTGAGAACATTTCGTGGTAGGCCTATCGGAATGCCAGGCCTTTCGGTCCCTGCTCGAGTGAGTGCGTCCCCGATCTTGGACGGGGCGTGCTGTCGGTGTCGCCGCGAACGATTTCCACTTAGGGGCACAGCGTCGCCTGCCCGACAGCGGCCGCCGTCGGTTTTGCACGGCAGGCGCTGTTGGGCATCGCGTGCCCACCTGTCCGGACCCGCGTCGAGCGTGCCAAAGAGGGGTGCACTCTTCAGGCAGATCTTGGCGCCAGAAGGGGCAGTTCAGGGGCCCCTCTCAGGGCCCCTCTAGGGACACATTCTGTCGACGTCGTCGTCGTCGTCGTCGTTGTCGTTGTCGTCGCTTCAGTCGTCGTCATCGTCGTCCCCGTCCCCGTTCTCGTCCCCATCCCCGTTGGTTGCCCCCATCGTCAATCTAAGCCGCGGGGCCAGATCAGACGGGGGGCCTAGAATTAAGCCGCATCGTGGCAGCGTGGTGCGATTCGAATTCCGATTGGTTCCATCGCTCTGTCGCGGGTGCAGTGCCGGTGCATCGGCGATCCGACACGATTTTTCGACCCATCTATTCTTGTCCGACATGGGCCGTTTCTAGTTACCGTCCACTCGAGGGCGGTTGGGATGAGCCATTCTGCTTGTTCTGGGCCCGATCAGCCACTCTAATTTTTGTATCCTCTCGGGATCGACGTTCGATCCATACCACTGCTGTTGCCCACACTCTGGCTGCCGGAGGGGAGGGGCACGACATGGATAAAAATTTTGTTGAGGCATGGCTTTTTATGCATGCCCGCGCTCCACCCCCTCGCGGAGTTCTGGTGGGACTAGGGCATGGGCAAGATGTCAACAGCTTATCCTCCTCTCGCCGCCGGGGCGGCCCGGGCGACCCGAGTGATCAGGCGATGCACGCCACAAGATTTGATGGGGGTGGGATGCTGGGGACCCTCCCTCCCCCATCCCTCACACCCTCTTCCCCTGGCCCTCGCCTCGGCACCCACCATTTCTCGAGCAGGGGATCGACTACAGATCTCATTCACCCCAGCTGTTTTTTGGTAGACTACGAACCATATACAATGTTTCGCAGATCTACGAATAGTCGATGCCTCTTTTCAAAGGCTCGACGAACAACGACTTCGGGGTAGATCAATTCTGTGGCCGATCCCCTGTGCGAATTTCGGGGTGGAGGAAAAGCTCCAGGGCCAGTCCGTCTCCCCAGGGGCCCCCCCCGTGAGGCAGGCACTTCGACAGACTGCCCCCCCCACACGGAGTCGACTGGGGCTGCCTGGGCCCAAACCCTGGCTGCTCTGCGCCTCGCTCTACGAAAAAACCTTCCCATCCCCCTCCTGTTCCTCCCCCTCCTCCTCCCCGCCATCCCCCGTCTCCCCCTCCTCCTTCTTCTCCTCCTCCTCCTCCTCCTCCTCCTTCTCCTCCTCCTCCTCCTCCTCCTCCTCCTCCTCCCCCTCCTCCTCCTCCTCCTCCTCCGCCTCCTTCTCCTCCTCCTCCTCCTCCTCCTCCGCTCCTGCTCCTCCTCCTCCTCCTCCTCCTTCTGCTGCCCATCCTGTCTCTTCCTGATTGTTTCTCCCTCCTCCTCCTCCTCCTCCTCGCCTCCTCCTCCTCCTCCTCCTCCTCCTCCTCCTCCTCCTCCTCCTCCTCCTCGTTGCTTTTCAAAGCCCAGCTATCTGGGGACCTTCTACCCCTGAGAGAACAGCATCTTCTTATAATTCCCCTCCTCCTCCTCCTCCACCTTCTCCTCCCGCATCCCCTCCCTGTCCTCCTCCTCCTCCTTGTCTCCTCCTTCCTCCTCCTCCTCCTCCTCCTCTCCTCCTCCTCCTCCCTCCTCCTCCTCTCCCCTTCCTCTCCTCTTTCTCATCCTCCTCCTTCACCTTCACATCCTCCTTCTCCTTCTCCTCCTCCTCGTCGTCCTCCTCCTCCTCCTCCTCCTCCTCCTCGTCCTCTCTCCTCCTCTCTCTTCCCTCCTTCCTCCCTATCACTCCCCCCGTCCCCCGACCTTGTCGCGGCGGGCGCATCCAAGGCCCGCCGTCACCAGCCACGGACTTTGTCGAGACCGGCCCGGCGTCGCCTGCGAGGAGCACGTGCCGGATTGGCTCGCCCTCGCCGACCCCGGGCACGATGCGCCCAGGCTTGGCCTGTCCGCCTCCGCTGGAGGACGATGGGCAGGATGAGGAGTGGGGGGGGGAGCGGGGGAGGAGGGTAAGGACTGGGAGGAGGAGGGGGGGGGAGGAGGGGAGGGGAGGAGGGGGAGGAAGAAGGGGTGGAGGCGAAGGGGGGGAGAAGGGGAGAGGGGGGAGGAAGATGAGGAATACTTATAATGATAATAATGATAACAATAATAGTAATCATACTAATGATATGAAGAAGCATATGAATGCTACTGGTACACATAGTAATAACAAAAATGAAATAAGACACATGCGAAAACTACTTATAATCATAATCGCAAACATACTGAGAAGAATAATACTGAGGAGAAGGGTAATACTGACAATAATAATATGCATACTACTAAGAATAATATTAATAAGAAGAAGAATACGAAGACGAAGAATAATAATAATAAGAGGCTGAGGATGAGGAGGAGGAGGAGCCGGAGGAGGCGGATCAGGCGGAGGAGGAGGAGGAGGAGGAGCCGGAGGAGGCGGAGGAGGAAGAGGAGGAGGAGGAGGACGAGGAGGAGGAGGAGGAGAACAAGGGGGAGGATGAGGAGGAGGAGAGCAGGAGGAGGAGGAGGGGAGGCAGGAGGAGGAGGAGGAGAGTTCGAGAGGGAGGAGGATGGAGGGATGAGGAGGAGGGGGAGGAGGAGGTTCGAGGAGGGGAGGAGTGAGGAGGAGGAGGAGAGGGGAGGAGGAGGAGGAGGAGGATGAGGAAGGGGAGGAGGAGGAGAGAGGAGGAGGAGGGAGGGAGAGAGGAGTAGGAGGAGGTTCGAGGAGGGAGGAGGAGGAGGAAAGGAGGAGGAGGAGGAGGAGGAGAGGAGGAAGGAGGAGGAGGAGGAGAGGAGGAGGAGGGTGCGAGGGGGAGGAGGAGGCGGGAGGAGGCGGAGGCGGCGGAGGAGGCGGAGGAGGAGGAAGAGGAGGAGGAGGACGAGGAGGAGGAGGAGGAGGAGGCATGGAAGGGGGAGGAGGAGCGCGGCGTGAGGCAGCACAGGCCAGGTGGGCCGCACCATGATGTGGCTGCGTGATATGGCTGGCCACGGTCACACTGGGTGTCCGCGCCGGCCTTCTGAGGGCCATGATGTCGTTCTAGGACGAACAACGCAACGGCATAAACAAGAACTTGTGGCGGTCCGCGCGGATTTCTTGGATCCGCGCTGGATCCCGCTGGCGGCGTCGTCTTGAGTTTCTGAGATCGGGCCGGCGTCATCTTGGTATTGTCTTGGATAATGCTGTAGGTTTCGAAGGCGCGTTTTGCCCGCTTCCGCGGACTCGCTGAACTTTGTCTACTCACATCTCCCGATGGCGATGCCGATGGGGTCAAATACATGCAATTGTTCCTGAAAGCGCTCCAGTGTTCCACCTGGCAGTTGAAATGGGAATCATTCTGGTGGACCCCCCCCCCCTCCCACCATCACTCGAGGAGGTTGAGTTCCCTCCCCTCCACTCCCATTTCAAACAGGGGGGTGGCCCCCCCCCTCCCGTCCCGACCGTTGCGCCGTCGAATGGGCAGGGGGGTTTCAACGCCCTCCCTTTCCCCCCTCTCCCCGCTCGGCGGCGGAGGGGGCGCGACGGGGCGCGCTCCGGCGCGCTCCGGCACGCTTCGGCGCGTGGGAGGTTTTCAGGGGTGTTGGGTCAGGGTGTTAGCGTGTTAGTTTCCTATTCTCTCATCGCGCACTTGTCCTTCTCGTCTTCGGGCCTCGATTCGCCTCTGGTGCGCCCCACCGCTTGCTGACTGGCGTATGAAGTCTTGAACCACTTGGCGCCCGCGGGCTCGAACAGTTAGTGTGTTACGGTTAAGGTTTTGGATTAGAGCCAGTGCGCAAGTTTAGGGCTAGAGTGTTCGAGAGCTTTGGGTGGTAGTGCATTCTGATGAGGGTGGGTGCTGCGTGTTAGGGTTAGGGAAAGAGCGCCAGCATGTTCCCCTCGGATTGAAAAGGGTGTGTGTGTGAGTGTGTTCTCGCACAGCGAGCTTTCGGACCCACCCTTATTTTCCAGGAAAGTGTGCGGATTCGGACCCCCGCCTATGCGCCAGAGAGGACGCACAGTCCCAGACGACGGGCGGCGACGAGGCGGCGAAGGGGCCGCGGAGGCCACGACACAGCCGCCAGAATGGGTGGTCAGGCCCAGTTCCTTACGTGGACAACAAGTAAGATACCATATGTTCAAATCGTTGTTGGGTAACTACTCTTCTCTCCCCCGAAGATGGCTAGGGAGCGTCCCGCCCCCATTCATCCGCAGGGTGTTTTCCGCATGGGGTTCAAACATTGATCTTGCCCAGGTTGTTCAATCTGAGTGCGCCTCGGTGTCTCACAATGGTGCTGCCGCTTGAGCGTTGGCCTCGTCTGAGGATCGGCGCTTTGCTTCCGTCGCTCAGAATGGCGCTCCCGCCCCTTGGCGGGCCACTTTTCTGGCACCTGTTCCTCCTCCTGCTCCTCCCTTTCCTTCCACTCCAGTTCCCGCTGTTGCCGCTCGTCCTCGTCTTCTTCTTCTTTCATCATCTCTTTTCCTTCCTGCTCATCCTCCCGCTCATCTGCCATCTCCTCCCTCTCCCCCTCCTCCTACGGACGCAGCTCCCCTTTTGTTTCCGTTGCGCACATCATGATGTGGTCTTTGCTGGGGAGTTCCAGGCCCGCTATTCGACGCGTCCGCGGATAGAGACGAAGACCGCGCAATGGGCAGGGATGGGTGGCAGGGGTAGGGTGTCAGATGTTGCGCGACCGCACCCAGCCTGCTCTCCTCACCTCTCCCTCCTCCCGTTCCTCCCTCCCTCGTCCGCCCTCCCTCCCTCCCCGCCCCTCTCTTTCCACCCTCCCCTCCCCGCTTCGCAGCCTGGGTCCTCCGGCAAACTCTCCCCCCCTCTTCCCCAGGGCGGCGGCGCGGGAGCCCGAAGACGAATCGCGCTCCTCGCGCAGCGCGGGGGCGGGGGGTGGGCCCGCGTGCGGGCGGCTTCGGGCGCGCGCTCGTCTCGGCCACGCGCACAGGAGGGGGGGGAGGGGGGGGGGGCAGGGCTCCTTGCCTGAAGCACCCCTGCCTCCGAGAAGGCGCCCGAGCCTCGTCTGCAGATGGGAGGCTGGCGCCTCCTCTGAGGAACAGCCTCCTTCGCAGCGGCCTTGCCCCCCCTCCGCCTGCGCTCCGGTGCGCGCCGCCGGCCGTCGTGGGGAGAGGCGGCGGCCCCCGCAGGCCCGCCGCCGCTGCTGGTCGACGCCGTGACGGTGGGGTCCTCGCTGCTGCTCAGGTGCGCCACGCGTGCGCACGCCGCCGGCCCAGGGAGGAGGAGGAGGAGGAGGAGGGAGGAGGCGGAGGAGGAGGAGGAGGAGGCGGAGGTAGGAGAGGGGAGGAGGAGGAGGAGGCGGAGGAGGAGGAGGAGGAGGAGGAGGAGGAGGGAGGAGGAGGAGGAGGAGGAGGAGGAGGAGGAGGAGGAGGGAGGAGGGACGTCGCATGAGGAAGGCCAAGTGCCAGCAGGTGCCCCTCGCGGAGGCCTCTCGTCCCCCCGAGGCCCCCCGGGGGGGACCCGCGGAGGCCCAGCGACGAAGCGCGTGCTCCCAGAGGTCGGACATCGCAGGATTTCTCAGTCTTGGCTTGTGATGCTCCAGCCTCCTTCTGGCCCTGATCGCCAGAAGGAACCAAGAACGTACCCAAACTGGAGGGCTTTCACGTGTCGGGCCCCGGGAGGCGCTACTTCCTCGACACTGCTTCGACACTTTTCTTGGCGTTCGAGAGTATTTCTGGGATTTGGTCCTTGAGTACAACGGGAGCAACATAAGTCTTAGCGTAGTTGCCGACTGTGTTTTGTGAGGGCGAGGGCTTGTCCTGCACATGTCCTGGCGCGGACGTGGCCTGCTGTCGTCGCCGACCGTGGCGTCTGATCCGCAGGCCTCAGAAGGGAGCTGCCGAGCTGGCCCAGCTCCACGCGGCATGGGCTCCTGCCCCCGTCCCTCTTCTGCATCACCCACCTTTGACGATGGCCGGATTCGTGACGGAACCTCCGTGAATCCAAGCCGTGCGGAGGCGTTTGTACGCTGCACCTCTCTGCTAGTTGGCGTGCGCAGAAGGCGGGCGCATGATTTGGGGAACGAAGAATGACATAAACATAGACTCGGAGGTCCGCGTGGAGTTCTCGTATCGGCGCTAGACCCCCCCCTCCGCGCGCGCGCGCGCGAAGAGCGCGCCAGGGTCGGCGCCTCGGGCGCCGCCGGGGGGGGTCCGGCGCGGATCCGAACAATCCGTGCGGGCCTCCGATGTTTGCTCACGCTTGTGTCATTGCTTGTTCCCCTCATGATTTCGCATGATCGACTGGTACTCAGAGCCCCGAATCATCAGGGGTAACTCGGGTTAGGGCTAACTCGGGTTCGTTTTTCGGGATTCCGAACCCGAGTTATCCCGGACCCGAGTTACCCCGGATATTTCGGGCGTCCAGGGCCCCGAATCATCAGGGGTAACTCGGGTCAGGTAAGTCGGGTCAGGGCTAACTCGGGTTCGTTTTTCGGGAACCCAAACCCGAGTTACCCCGGACCCGAGTTACCCCGGATAACTCGGGCGTCCAAGGTACACGAGTGGTCAATGTCAGGGGAGCGCTCATTGTCTCGTGGCCTTCGGCTCCTGGTTACAGCCGGGCCCGTGTCGTAGAAGCAGCTGTTTTTTTGGGGGGGGGGGGGGGGGGCTCGTCGAGGAGCCTCGTGGGGGCCGGTTGGGGGCCTGGTGAGAGGCCTCTCGGGCGCCTGTAGGGGGCGCGCGCGGGCGCTCTCGGGTGCCACACGTTTCGGTGGAGGGCTCCAGAGTCAGTCGGGAGTCCCCCGTGTGATGGCGAGTACGTCCAAGCCATGTGTCACTTGTTTGTTTTCTCTATGATTTTGGACTCTTGCCTTAAATGGGGCATGTCCCTCGACAGGAGGAATGTTGAGATGATGTTTGTTTTCTAAGTATGTCGAATCTTGTAGAGTATATCAGAGTTTCTCCTATTTTCTTACAAGCTCCGCCTGTAGGAGGACATGCCCGACCTAACTCTTGGGCTAGCCCCCATGGCGGCCCCGAGGGCGGCCCACGCGGCCCCCAAGAGGACTGCAAGACGGATTCCTCCTGGAACCACCTTATAGTTCATACTGGAGACGGGCATCCCCATCCACGCGTCCAGGGCCTTAAAAACGTCGCGTGGTGATCTCCGAGTGGAGGTGCCCAGGAGCGTCCGCGATTTGGGGGTCTGGGGCTTTTGCTCATCAGGATGTGCACAACTCAATCCAGGTTCCTGTGGCAAATTTGCGACCGTGCCAGTGAAGCTCTCTGCGTCTCATGTGGCACCTTCCATCTCCACTTCTCGAGCTCTCGTGTGGACTCTGGGGCCGTCTTAGGGCTGTCTTGGGCTCATGTGGGGCAGCCTTTTGGGTCCCCTCAGGGCTCATTTGGGCCGTCTCAGTCGTCTTGGGCGCTCGTGGTCGTCAGGGGAATCTTCAGGCCGTCGTGGGGCCAGTTTCGGGTTTTCTTGGGCCGTCTATGAGAGCACTCTTAGCTGTATAGGGTTTCTCCGGAGGTCCTCTTGAGCCGTTTTGGGGCTCTCTTGGGGCCGTCTTGGGCCAACTCGGGGCCCTCTGTGGGTTCTCTGCGTGTTCCAGACTGCAAGTGGACCAACCCTCCAGGGAAGAGCGTGGAAAGCGAAACACAACATATAACATCTAGTGATCGTTTTCTTATTCATTGTTTTGCCGATCGGCGCAGGTCCTCGCATCCTTCCCTACCCACCCCATGGAGTTGATCTTGGCTGTTTTGGGCACCTGTTTCGAGCAGGTGGACGGCTCCCCCATAGGACTGCAAACAGTCGCCCTGAGCAGAGGTCCGGAGCCAGACCCCCCCCTCCCCCCTCCTTGCGCAATGCCGAAACGCCGAATAAGAAAACGCTCACCTCAGGAACATCGATGTTCTTGGTTTCTCCAGGGCCTCCTATAGAGCATTTTTGGGGTGTCTTGGGCCCTCTTGGAGGCCTCCTGGCACTGTTTGGGCGCGCTTCAGGGGCTCTCGGGAGCGTCTTGAGGCAAAGCTGGGCCACCTCGGCGGCCTTGGTGGCCTTCCTGGGCCGTCTTGCAAGCGCCAGAGGTTGGGGGCCGGCCAAGAGGGGGGTGACGAGTATGGTTAAGTCGGGCCTGTCACTCTACAGAGGAATATTCAAAAATAGTCAAAAATAGTCTGGGGACTATTCTTGGAGTATTTTTGACAATTTGGGAAATTTGTTTGGAGTATTTTTTATTTTTCGTCGAAAATCCCCCTGTAGGGGGACACGCCCGACTTAAGAGTAGGGTGTGTGTGTGTGTATCATGGCGGGGGCCCCGAGGTCTCCCCGGATTTGAGGGTGCCTCCCTGGCCCCCCACGGGCCGCGCACATGCCTCCGGCCATGATTTGCACATGCCTCCGGCCATGCCTCCGGCCATGATTGCATTCCGTGGCCGCCCCCAGAGATTTTTGGAAGATCCCACGGAGGCGTCGGGCCTCTCAGCGAGCATCAGGAGAGGTGGCTGCGGTGCGTGCGGCTGGGTGCCGGGAGGTGGGCGGTCCCTTCGAAGAGCACATGACCCCCAGCAGGCAGCACTGAGCCTGCTACCACGCCTCAACGGGGCAGCGGGCACGGTGGCGGATAGTGAGGACTCGGAGGGGCCTGAGGCCAATCCACACAGAGCCTCGCGGCACAGAGGCGGATCCATGAAGAGTGTGGTCTTCATCGTGATGTGTGCACTCGTCGCATGCCATGCGGATGCATCTGTAGACAACAGGCCGGGTATGAGGCATCAGGTCATGCTGGTGTTTCATTACATGTCAGTGTGGTTGTTTTGGGCAAGCGTTGCAGTCTGTGCGTCGGTCTGTAGATGTGTCTGTAATACTGTCAGCATGTGCACACTTTAATTATTGTGTGATTTCACATCTCTTGCCTCGTGTACCCATCCCGACTCCTGCCCAGCTTGCTTTTGACGAAGGATTCGTGGGGAATGCCGACGTCGTCCCCTGACGCCATTCTTGCACACGTCGTTGGCCATTACATCGTAGCTTTCTCCCTTCATGCATGCACCTGCCTACTCGCACGCTTACGGTTTGCTGCTGCCCCTCCAGGTCTCTGGCGCATTTTGGGTCGCCCTCTTCGACCTCCGGTCTTACGAGAATAGGCTCGCTGGTGCTTGCGTCAGCGACTTAGCTCCTCGTGTGCACAACTTGGGCCTTACCGTAGGGCTCGTCCATCCCTCGGGTGTGCGCTGTAGCGCGTTGCATGCCGATCGCAGTCCGGTCGTCGCCGGGCGGGCAGGAGGGGACGAAGGGCAGGCGAGGAGTGGGGAGGGAGGGAGAGATTCAGCAGCGAAGATTGGTGGAACAGACGATGAGTGCGTGCTTAATGCCATGCCAACGTCACTGGTCTCAGCATGTTTTGAACATCCGGCCTTGAATCCCGTAGGGTCGACTGGCCTGTCCAGAAGCCTCGACCTCTCGTGGCTGCCGCACAGGGAGAGGGGGAGGAGAGGAGGGGGGAGGAGAGGAGGTGGAGGAGGGGGGACGGGGGAGGAGGAGGAGGAGGAGGAGGAGGAGGAGGAGGAGGAGGAGGGAGGAGGAGGAGGAGGAGGAGGAGGAGATGGAGGAGGGGGGAGGAGGAGGAGGAGAGGAGGAGGAGGAGGAGGAGGAGGAGGAGGAGGGAGGAGGAGGTGGAGGAGGAGGAGGAGGAGGAGTAGGAGGAGGAGCAGGAGGAGGGGAGGAGGAGGAGGGAGAGGAGGAGGAGGAGGGGAGCAGGAGGAGGAGGAGGCGGAGGGGAGAGGAGGAGGAGGAGAGGAGGAGGAGGAGGAGAAGAAGAAGAAGAAGAAGAATAATAAGAATACTAAGAATAATAAGAAGAATAATAAGAAGGATAAGAAAAGAAGAAGAAGAAGAAGAAGAAGAAGAAGAAAAGAAGGAATAATGATAAGAAGAAGAAAAAGAAGAAGAAGAAGAATAGAAGAGAGTGGAGGAGGAGAGAGAAGAGGAGGAGGAGGAGGAGAAGGAGAAGAGGAGGAGGAGGAGGAGGAGGAGGAGGAGGAGGAGGAGGAGTAAGAGTAAGAGTCAAGCTAGCCAGCTCGAGCGAGTCAAGCATGGCATGCCCAGTCCCACCCGCCCTCCCACAACATAGGAAGCAAAGCTGGCACAACTGGGGGCCGAAGTCACACCGGCCAGCCGGTTTGGTACAGCTGATGCGGCCGCGATGGCGGTTGCCGACGGGAACTGGCGAGCGCGTGTTGAATGCCGCGCACGCATTGCAGACGAGTCGAGAATGGCCCGGTACACCGCAGGAAGCCAGAGGTGGCCGGAGGAAGCCCGACGGTCTGACAGGACACCCCAAAGCATTTTGTGAAAAAGCATTGGGTTTTTGATGTTTTTATGTTGAAATGCTTGCAAACACACGGTGTTCGGTAGGATTCTGACATGAACGCGCGAGTGTGCTCTTTGTAGTATTTTTTTGCACAGGATTCGCGGCCTGGGTGCATGACAGAGCATCGCGAGTGCACCGCGCGATGACGTGAAATCGCTGGATTTGACAGAATTCTTAAGATTCCTATGGTTTTCCTATGATTTCAGCAAGAGAGCCCGGGCAGGAAATTTGTAGAATTTTTGTGAAAAAAAACATTGGGTTTTTGATGTTTTTATGTTGAAATGCTTGCAAACACATGGTGTTCGGTAGGATTCTGGCATGAACGCGCGCGTGTGCTCTTTGTGGTATTTTTTGCAATGGATTATCGCCGTGGACGACAGGACGTCCATGTCGAGAGGAAAAAATAAGAAAAATGTTGATTTTGTATTGTTTTTTACAGGTTAGGATGGGACCCCCCGGATGCGGCCCCTAATGGCCGGCCTGAGGGGGGAGTAGGAGTATATTCTAATAAGGAATAAGGATAAGAGTAAGAGTCCCTGGACGATGTCCAATCTCTGACGCCTTAAACGGGGAGCCCCTTCTGGACTCTCTTGGCCCTCTGAGCTGCCGTAAAGGCCTTAGGCCACAACGAATCACCGATTCTGGCTAAATAGCTTGCTCGAGTCGGGGTGGTCTTATACACGCATTGCTTCCCCAACCCAAGCAACTGCTAATCTGCAAACATGCCACACACAGCACAGAACCAAACATTGACGTCCTGATGATATCTTAGCTTGTGAGACCTGTGCACCCACCCCCCAGCGATGTGCAACTCCGCCCCCTGGGGAAGGGATCTCAGCGCATAGTCCAGAGGCACAAGCTTGAAACACGGCGACGCACTCCACTTGCGACACTCAGAAATCGACGCAGAGCCACGACACCTGCGGCACCGACGCCCCGAGTCGCCCAGAGCGTGTGAACTGGACAGGATGGACACAGCCTCGGGGCACGGCGGCGGCACGCAAAGCTGCACAGGAGGAGGCGGGGGAGGAGGAGGAGGAGAACGGGGCCCTCCCTCACTCAGAACCCTCTGCGGCAAGCTAGGTGCGCTCGCGTCATATCTGACATCCTACCCCTCCCTCCCATCCCTTACCATGGCGTAGATCCCCTCTCTACTCGCACAGTCGGATGTCGAGCAGGGCAATGATCCCGAAAGGGTACGCGATGCATTGTAGAGCACGGCATGGCATGGCGTAGAAGAGCACCGCAAAGCGTAGTATCAACCTAGCATTGCATTGCATGCCGTGGCATGGCACGGGAAATGACGCCAGCGCTGCAGCGGGAGCACGAGTCGAAACGAGCGGAAGCGCGGAAATGAGGCCAGTGCTGCAGCGGGAGCACGATTCGGAACGAGCGGAAGCACGGAAATGAGGCCAGCGCTGCAGCGGGAGCACGATTCGGAACGAGCGGGCCCGAAAATGAGGCCGGCGCCTCAGCGAGAGCAGCATTTTGAAAAACAATGCAGGCGAAAACCCAACTCCGGGCAAACCTGTGTGTAAAAAACAGTACGCGGGGGGGGTCGGCCACTTTGAAACCGTCATCAGGGGAAGAGGGAGAGTAGTATTCATATTGAGTAATTGTGGAGGAGGAGGAGAAGGAGGAGGAGGAGGAGGAGGAGGAGGAGGAGGAGGAGGAGGAGGAGGAGGAGGAGGGAGGAGGGAGGAGGGAGGAGGGAGGAGGAGGAGGAGGAGGGAGGAGGAGGTGAGGAGGAGGAGGAGGAGGAGGAGGAGGAGGAGGAGGAGGAGGAGGAGGAGGAGGAGGAGGAGGAGGAGGAGGAGGAGGAGGAGGAGGAGGAGGAGGAGGAGGAGGAGGGGGAGGGGGAGGGGGAGGAGGATGAGGAGAAGGAGGCGGAGGGAAGAGAAGGAGGAGGAGGCGGAGGGAGAGAAGGAGGAGGAAAGGGAGGAGGATGCTGCTGCTGCTGATAATGACGATGATGCTGATGGTGATGGTGATGATGATGTTGATGATGATGATGATGATGATGCTGGTGGTGATTATGATGCTTTTGACAATGATTTCTGAAACTGATGATGATGATGATGTTTTTGATGCTGATTATGATGATGATGCTGCTGATGATGCCGATGTTGATGATGATGTTGCTGATGATGCTGATGGTGGTGGTGGTTATACAGATTCATACTAATGCCGATGCTGATGCTGATGACTTTCTTGATGTCGATGTTGATGATGATGTTAATGCTGATGTTGATGTCGATGCTGCTGGTGATGATGATGCTGATAATGATGCTGATGATGATGATGCTGATGATGATGATGGTGGTGGTGGTTGTGTTGTGGATGATGGTGCTGTTGATGACGATGATGCTTTTGATGATGACGCCGATAATGATGATGATGCTGCTGATGACGATGACGATGCGGATGATGATGGCGATGTCCATGATGATGATGATGATGATGATGATGATGATGATGAGGAGGATGATGATGATGATGATGCTGATGCTGATGCTGATGATGATGATGATGCTGATGATGATGATGATGCTGATGGTTATGGTGATGATGATGATGATGCTGATGATGATGATGCTGATGATGATGATGACGATGCTGATGATGACGACGACGATGATGATGATGATGATGATGATGATGGTGATGATGATGATGATGATGATGACGATGATGTTGATGATGCTGCTGCTGATGATGATGGTCATGCTGATGATACAGTCGGGGCGCTGAAGCAGGAACCCTTTTCGTTGGGGAGGGGCTCGGTGTTTCTTGATTGGTTTACAGTTTGCCCTGGGTCTTCTTTTCGTTTTCTCTGTGAAATCGAAGTTCCACTTATGGGACAACGGGGCCTCGTTTCTTATTTAGGGTTCCTTAGGTCAGCGCCCCGGCTGTACTGGTGATGATGGTTCTGCTGATGATGATGATGATGCTGATGATGATGATGATGATGATGATGATGCTGATGAGGATGATGATGATGATGATGATGATGAATTTGGAGTTGAACTTGCTTGTGATGATGATGATACCGATGATGTTACTGGTGGTAATGATGATGCTGATGTTGATGATGATGGTATTGTCGCTGATGATGCTGGTGATGCTGATGACGATGATGATGATGGCGGTGGTGGTGGTGGTTATGCTGATGGTGATCATGCTGATGATCGTGATGCTGCCTTTGATGCTGCTGATGATGATGCTGCTGATCATGATGCTGATGACGATGATAATGGTCATGCTGTTGATGAGAATGCTGATGATGGTGATGGTGATTCTACTTTTGATGGTGATGATGATGATGATTATGCTGGTGGTGGTGGTTGTGGTGAGGCTGATGGTGATGATGATGATGATGATGATGATGATGATAATGATGATGCTGATGCTGATGCTGATGCTGATGCTCATGATGATGCTGATGATGATGCTGATGATGATGAGGAGGAGGAGTAGGAGGAGGAGGGGGAAGGGCCCAGGAGGAACGGAATGAGGAGGCGGATGAGGGGGGGAGAGGTGGAGGATGGGGAGGCGGATGTAAGGCAGATGTGGAGGTGGAGGATGGGTAGATGGAGGATGGGGACGCTTACTCTGGGTGTGGAAGGTCCTCGGTTGGCTGGGCATCGTACTCGCAGCCACCTCTGTGGGCCTAACGGCCAGCAGCAAGTTTCGGAGTGCACCTGCTTTGGGTGCGATGTGCCCAGCTTGGGGAGATCTCGACGTCCCAGTGAGGGCGCACGGTCGTGGCGCACCCGACTGGGGGGATGCAGCTCTTGACCCACCCAGCTGGGTGGTACGAGAAGTGTCTTCTCCTTCTCCTCTGCAGCTGTGCCTCGCCATTCCCCCCCTGCTTTCCCTCCCCCGGTGTTGCCCTCACTGGTAAGCCCTGGTATGCTCTTGGGCCATCTGAAGAAGTGACTTGGGCAAGTTGTGTGGTTCAGGTGATTCCTCGGGCCCGCCGCAGGAGGAGTCACCGCCTGCGCAGAGGCGCGAAACGGGCTGCTTCAAGGACGAGTGTCGGCGGCGAGCGAGGGGGGAAGTGATAATTAAGGAGAGACCTTCTCGGAAGGCGGCGGGACTTCTCAGAAGTGCTCTGGCCTTCTGAGAGATTGGTGGTTGTTTTTTGTTCGTTGTTTTGCCGATCGGCGCGGGCCCCTCCCCCCTATGGAGTGGATCTTGGCTGTTTTTTGGCGCCTGTTTCGAGCGGATGGAGTCTCCCCCAGAGGCAGCACTCTTGCAAACAGTCGCACTGAGCAGAGGTCCGGAGCCAGACCCCCCCCCGCTACCCCCCCCTTTCCGCCCACCGTCGAAACGTCGAACCCAGAAGCGCTCACCACCTCAGAAGGCCCGGGAACTTCCGAGCCCTCCGAGAGGGCCCGCCCCTTCGCAGATCCCCCCCCAAAGGCTCGCCGCCCACGACGTCTCTTCGGACACGACCTGAGGCCACGGCCTCCTGCGCCCTGCCCCCCCAAAAGGGCACGGGCGCACCCGTCGTGCCCGGCTCTGGCGCCCTCGCCCTCGCCCCAGGGCTCGCCGCCCCAAGTATAGGGCCGCTTAGCCACGAGCCCTCGGAGCCTCGGAGCCCCCGCTGGAGCCGGCGCCGCGAGGCGCCCAGAGGTCGACCCGCACGGTGCGTTTGCCGGTCTCGCGGGCCGTTGCCGCGTCGCTGTCGTTCTGCGGCGAGGGCGGGCGGGAGGGCAGCGGCGAGGGGCAGCGAGAGCAGATCGAGGAACGAGGAGAGCACTGCTGAGGCCGACCCCTGTGGGGCACCACCACTCCTGGGGGGGGCAGGTCGATCGCCTGGCCCGCGAGGGGCCAGAGCCTCTGGGGGCGGAACCTGCCGTGGCGGCGAGGGCTCCGCTGGCAGGAGGCGCAAGGAGGGCCGGAAGCTCCCGACGACCTAACTTCCCCGAGCTTCGGTCCTCGAAGTTCTCCTCCTCTTCCTCCTCTGGCGCAGTGTCCCCCCATTCGCCGGGAGCAGGATCCCGCACGGGACGGGAGCGGCGAGACCGACGACAGGACGGGCCGAGGACGGGCAGGCAGGCAGACAGAGACATGCAGACAGAGACAGAGGCAGGCAGGCTGACAGAGACAGACAGACAGGCAGAGGCAGAGACAGAGACAAAGACAGAGACAGGGACAGAGACAGATCGACAGACAGGCAGGCCGACAGACAGACAGACAGACAGGCAGAGGCAGAGACAGAGACAAAGACAGAGACAGGAACAGGGACAGATCGACAGACAGGCAGGCCGACAGACAGACAGACAGACAGGCAGACACACAGACAGGCAGCCAGACAGACAGACAGGCAGGCAAACAGACAGACAGGCAGGCAGACAGACAGACATGCAGACAGACCGACATGCATACATACAGAGACAGACAGACCGAGTGCCGCCAGACGGAGGCACCAGGCTTGATCAATCACCCTCAGCGGCGCAACCACACCATGCCCCTATCACGCCAGGGGGGATTGCAAGAAAAAACCTTTACGCGTATTCTCTTCCCCTTCCCCACATCTGCGATTTTGGGATGTGAGGAACCACTCCTCAGGCTCGCAGGCGCCCGGAAAGAATTGCCCCCTGGGGAGCGTCTTGACCGGGAGTTTGGAGGGGACCCAGCCTTTTGGCGGCGAGAGGCCTCTCCCAGAGGCATGAAGCGGAACAGCATCGAGACAGAAACTCGAGCCTCGGCAACACAACTCAGGTTTTCACGGTGGCGGAGGATGGGCTCTCCTCGACTTCCTCGTCCTCCTCCTGCTCCTGCTCCTACTGCTTTCCTCTTCCTCCGTAACCATTTTGGCTGAAGCGGTTGCATGGCCTCGCCCGCGCGCGCCCCCTCCTCGGCGAGGCGCGGCTGCGGAATGTTGGGGCCTGGAGGGGCTCCCTCGGCCCAGCTCGGCGCCTCCCTGGTCGAGGCCGCCGTCCGGGCCGCGGTCGCCGCCGGGGCGCCGCGGCGCACTGTCGCCGCCGTCGCGCGGTCGGCTATCACCGCCACGTTTTTTGCGTGCGGGGACGCGCCGACGGCGGCGGCCGCGCGTGACGCTGCTGCTGCCCCTGATGCTCGCGCGCCTCCTGCTGCACCGCCTGCCGCCTCCGTGGCCAAGGCGGGGCGGCGGAGGCGCAGACGCCGCCGCCTCGCGGAGCGGAGTGCCGCGGAAACGCTCCCTACTGCTGGCGCGGCGTTCGAGGGCGCCGCAGTCGTGACAGGTCCTGCTGCTGCTGCTGGAGCGGGCCCTCGGCCTGTTCGAGCCGCCGCGGAGGCCGCTGTCGACAACGCGATGTTCGAAGACGCCTGGGCCGACGGCCTGGTGCGGTCTTCGCCACCCGCTGCGGCGGAGCAGCCTGCTGCTGCTGCTGCCGCCGCTTCGGGCGGGCCGCCGCCTTCGCCTGCTGCCGCCGCGGGCTCGCAGGTCGAGGGCGTCGTGGCCCCGACCTCGCCCCTGCAGGACGACAGCTGGGCCGACCAGCTCCCCGCGCGCTGCGCGGCGCCCGCCGTGGAGGCGGTGCGCCTTGCCGCGGCGGTTCCTCGTGGAGCTGCTTGTGCTGGGGCTGCCGCTGTTGCCCCCCCCGACGGCTGTCTCGCGGACGACGTGGAGGAAGAGGAGTGGCGGCGGGCACAGCGCGCGCGGGCGGCGACGATCATCCGAGGCGCAGGGTGATCGTCGTCCCTTTCACTGCCCAGTGGTGTCCCCGCCCCCTGTCGCACGGCCGTGGGGTGATGTTTCCCCTGCGGTGACAGTTGCTCAGGGGACCGCCAACCTTTTTGTACAGGTTGCACGGTAGGCACGGGGAAGGAATTGCCCTCCCCGACCGTTTGCCCTGCTGAGGCGCTGGACTGCTTTTCTCTTGCCCTGGCCACGGGGCGGTCGCCCGTCGTGTGGCCAGTGCCTCCTAGCCCATGGGGCTGCTGAAAGTATTGTTTCGGTCAGTGAGGTCCCCCTCACTGCCAGCAGCGGTTTCCCAGCCGCCGCTGTTGCGCCTTTTTTCACATTGGTGCCCACCCAGGGCTGGGGAGCTTGTGCTCCTCAGTTTGCCGTGCCAGCTGTTCCGACTGGGATGCCTTTGGCTCCCAACGCACCTTGTCGGAACCGCGGGGTCGCGAGTCTTCGCAGGCGACGTGGTCACCCCCTGTGCCCTTCCTGCGCAGCTGTTGCTGCTCTCCGGGCGGTAGTTCGTTGGCTGCGCGTGTGCAGTGAGTGCACGGGCGGCCTTCGGGAGACCGGCCCAGGGCGCCGAACTCCTCCTCCTCCTCGTCCTCCTCTTCCTCCTCCCCCTCCTCATCCTCTCCTCGTCCTCCCCCTCCCCCTCCTCTTCCTCCTCCGCCTCGTCCTCCTCCGCCCTCTCCTTCTCCTCCTTCCCCCCGCGGGAGGGACGCGCCGACCCCCGCTCGTCCATTCATCGCCGAAGGGAGTTCGATACCCCTGCCCAGGGGCGTGCGGATGCCGATCTGTCGGCGATCCGCTGCCGGATCGGGCTCGATGCTCCCCCCCTGATGGAGCCCCCCCCCGTCAAAAGGGCACCGCAGCAAGGCGTTAGGTGTAAGTCGGGCGTGTCCCTCTATAGGAGGAATAGTTTTCAAAATAGTTCGAAAAATGGTCGGGCATATTTGTTTGATTTTTTTGACTAGGTTCGAATGTGTTTGACTATGGTGACTTTCCGTCCACACTCCGCCTGTAAAGGGACACGCCCGGCCTAATACTGGGTGTTGTATCGTGGCCCCCGGACACAATCATCCAACTTTCGCGACGAAGACAGCTGGGAACCGCCAAAGACGGTGGGCAACCGCCGAAGGCCGTCAGCAGACCGCCGAAGACCAGCCGAATACCGCCTCAGACCGCCGACGATTGCCCAGGAGCGATGGGACAAGGGGGCCATGGTCGAACACGCAGCACCGAAGCAAAAGCTCGAACCTCGAACCTGCCTCCCCCCCGGGTCGGATGTTGCCAGAGGTGCCCTGGCCCAAGGTGCGCCAGGTTTTCCAAGGAGGCCCCCGCGGCTTCCAGAGCACCATTCACGAGGCCCAGAGGGGGCAAGGGGCCCAACAATGGAGCGAAAACTTGGGGGCAATTTTCGCCAGCGGCACCTCCAGCAAGTCCCCGACTCAGACGTTTTCTTCCAAGCAAGGGCACCGAGGTAAGAGCGCGAAACTCCCACTTCGGCCCCTTCGGATATGATGCTGCTAGAAGTGCCCCTGGCCCCAGGTCGATGGGTCACAAGAGGCCCATGGTGGTCGAACACATCGCACTGAAACACGAGCTTTGGCCATACCGTTCGGAAAACAATATATGACCAGATGTCTGTATCATATTCCGAGGATGACACAAGACTCGTTTGTTATTCTGCGCCCCATTTCTTTTTTTGTCCAGAACAAGCACCGACGCTCATAATGAGAACGGGGAGGAGGAAGAGGAGGAGGCGGAGGAAAAAGAGGAGGAGCAGGAGGAGGAGGAGGAGGAGAGAGGAGGAGGAGGAGGAGGGGGAGGAGGACGAGTAGCAGGAGGAGGAGGAGGAGGAGGAGGAGGAGGAGGAGGAGGAGGAGCTGGAGCCTCGACCCTCCGCCCCCTCGGAGCCCCCGCCGCCGAGGCCGGACGGCACCAACGCCGGGCCCCCGCCGTCTTCGAGAAGCCCCGCCCGCGCGGGGCCCGCGCCCCCGACATGGGGGCTGTGCCGCCCAGGCGCCGCAGTCGCCCTGCTCCTCCTCCTCGTCCTCGTCCTCGTCCTCCCCTCCTCCTCCTCCTCCTCCTCCTCCTCTCTCTCCTCCTCCTCCTTTTCCTCGTCCTCCTCCTCCTCCTCCTCCTCCTCCTCCTCCTCCTCCTCCTCCTCCTCGTCCTCCTCGTCCACGGATCTTGAATCTGACAACGTCGGTCGCGACCCGTCGCGACCGATGAAGCACCCGATTGCGCCGTTGCTGGTCGCGCCCGTTCGTATGTGGATATGTTCGGTAGCGGATGATCTGGGTCGGACCCCACCGGGGGGAGGCCTCCGGCAGAGGGGGGGCCGGCGAGCCGCGCCGCGGTCGCTCAGGGCCTCAGCCGCCTGCCGCCGACGCCGCGCGGCTGGGCCCGCCGCCTCCTCCCAGGAACCACCGCGGGCGGGCGGGTGCTCGGGCAGTGGCGAGGCGTCCTGGCCGGCCTGCAGGCCCACCGAAGAGTGTTCCAAGAACCTTTTTGTGGTCTGCGCGGAATTCAGGGGGAAAAAAAACACAGACACAAGTAATCGTCGATTCCCCAGAACATATGGGAAACTATGGGAAGTGGGGGGGGAGACAGAAACCCAGAAAATACAGGAAAGTGCTGGGAGTCTGGTTATTTGTGTCTATTTACTTGTGTGTCCCGGTTCCCCTTCAGGAATGTTCTTGGTACCTTCCTTTTCCAGCATCGGGACTCTGTTCTGAGACGCTGTCTTCGTTCCTTAAACCGCTTTTTGCGTTCTGAAAAAATGTCGTGGTGGGCCTATAAGACTGCCGGGACGGTCGGTCCCGCTCGAGGTGCGGCCCAGGTCGTGGGCGAAAGCTCCGTTCATCCCCAGACGTGTTCGCGCCGTGGACCTGAGCACGACGGGGCCCTCGCTGGGCCCCAGGAGGCCGCCAATGCAGGCGGCCCGCGGTGCAGAACTCGCCCCGGGGGAAGGGTCGGGGCCTCTGGGGACCCCGCGTGACAGTAATCAGGACATCGCATGTCTGGGTGCGTGTCCGTATCCGCGGCCTCGCGGGCCGAGCCCCCGGGTCGTGACGGACCCCGCGGATGCCCCGCGCGGAGCGTACCCGTGCGACCGCGCATCCACGAGAGCGCGCTCCTGAGTCCAGGCCGCGAGGCGACGGAAACGGGTACGGGTGCGGATGAGGCGTCCTGCCTGCTGCGGGGGACCGTCCATAGGTAGGGTGCCTGTCTTTTTGTCGTGGCTGCCAGTTGACATCAAGACGTGCGATGCTTCATCTCGGCGGTGCGAAAGAGGGGGGATTTGTCCGCCCCCAGTCTCTATGGCAAGGTAGTCGCGTGCTCAGTGTCGCGCAAGCGGGATGGGCGGGATTGCAGCGGCGCTTCCCCACCTCTGCAGCCGGTTGCCACAGAGGGCCGTGCTAGCAGCTCTCTGCGAATTGCACACCGCCGTTGAATCTGGAAAAATGTTTTTTGTGAAGACCGACGGCAATTCTCTGTTAATGTCGAGCCTGGTTCGTGACCAGCGTCGCCGCGTGACCGTCTGTAACGAAGGTCGTCTGCCAACAGCGGCCGCCGTTGGTTTTGGACCACTTTTGCTGCTGGGCTGCTGGGCATCGTGCTCATTTGTTCCGTATTCATCTTGGGCGCGCCACAGGGGTTCGTGCTGTCAGCATCGAGGGCGTCAAGGAGGGGCCCCTAAGGGTTTGGTATTTTTCCTCTGATTTAAGCGGGGGTCGGCATTTCCGTGGAATCTGCGGACGGATGCGTGGAATGCTCTACGGCGCATTCCACGCATTTCTCGTAGACCTAACGAGCAAACTAAGTTTGGGGCAAATCAATTTTGTGGATCCCCTACTCGATTGATCGAATTGCTACAGTCAACCCGCATAATAAGGATGGGCAGCCTTCCAAAGGGTACCCTTGCATCCTTGCCCCCGCGGTCCATCCTTCGCCACGTTCGTTGGCCGCGCCCCGCTCGAAGAGCTTCGAATTGGGTGTCCAAGGCCCTTGCATCCTTATCGCGCATCCTTACTGCACGGGTTGACTGTAATTGCGGTACCGAGCCGGGCAAATCTGGCGGGGAGGGGGGGTCGGATGCGGGGTCGGGCGCACAGAGGCGTCGGCGCAGAGCCTTGCAGATCCTGCTTGTGCGTGGGGGAGGAGGGCATTGGCTGCGCGCCCGCCGTGGGCTTTCCAGGGAGGCCCCGTGTCGGGTACCCAGACCCCCTGGCGCTGTGCACAAACATCACGGCGGGAGGTCTTGCGAGAAGACCACGACGCTGGAGTTGTTTCTTGTTTGTTCGGCCTCGAGGGGCCCTTCCCAGGCCCCGGGACCGTCAAATAACGACTCAGGACGAAGATCCGGTCCCGGCGACGGGGTCAAGTTGTAAGTCGGGCCTGTCCCTCTACAGGAGGAATATTTAACGATATTCAGAGAATAGTCTGGGACGATTCTCTGAGTATTTTTGTAAGTTCCTGGGTATTTTTCAAAACAAATGTACCTTCAACACCTGCCTGTGGGGGGGACACGCCCGACCTAAGTCCAGACTTCTGGGGGTCGGCGTTGGGAAAATATCGCGACGTCGGGGGTCTGGGTGGCGGGCGCCGGCCACTGGTCGGGGTTTCCTTGGAACGGGTATCATCGAGAACAGAATCCTCCTGCTCCTCCTCCCCGAACCCTAACAACATGATGAAGACGTGGCCTCACTGAGGTCCCCGTCTTTGCATGACGGATAAAACATCTGGACGGTTCGGTTTGATTAATCTGCAGAAAAGACCTTCTAACCCTGGGAAGCAATCAGTAAACCCCCCCCCCTCCCCCCCCCCCCTCATCAGAGGAAATTATAACGCTTCCGGCACCGGGGCCGGGGCGGAAGCGATATCCCCCGCAGGTCACCAGAGGTCCGCGGAGGGGAGGTCCCCAGAGGTTCCCAGGAGGCATCCAGAAAGGCCTCCACAAGCCTCTGAATGCCCGGTCCCCTTGTAGTCCAGAGCCCAGCGACAAGGCACACCTGCCCAGAGTCGCTTCCTGTGATTCTGTGCGTTTCTGTGAGATTCGTCAGAGATTCCTCTGATACTCCGATTGGCTTCTTTTGAGATTCCTTGCCGTTTCCATTGTGATTATTTTGGGACTCCTTTGAGACTCCTCTTGTGTTCCTTGTGATTATTATGGGACTCCTTTGAGGGTTCTTTCGAGTTCCTCTGACATTCCTTCGACAAAGCCCTGAAGGGAGCATCCCATCGACCTCCGGCGCCTGTGGATTATTTTATTTTCAATAAATGTGCTAACATATCGCGGGGGGGTTCGCGGAATCCGTCTGCGATGTCCCTCCGTGGACTCTCCCATAGGACCCCGTGATAAAAAACAATTTCCTTTTTGCAGCCGCAATAAGGTTTGCTTATGTCCACGCGAGCCCGCGTTTTCCAGATTCCTTAGATTCCTTCGTGGTTCGTTTGAGCTGCCGCTGAGATCCCTTTGCGATTTCTGTGGCGTTCCTTTTTGAGATTATTTTGAATTTCCAATAGGGGTCCTTTGAGATTCTGCGTGGGCTTCCTTCTGAGATGTCTCTGGGATTCCTTTGGGTGGTCCTTTCAAATATAGCTGCTTGCGGTGATTTCATTGTTTGTCATTTTTGATTTACCTTTGATTTCCGATGCGCGTCAGTTTACCAGTGTTCTAGCAAGGCGGGAACCCATTGGCAAGCGTTCGTGCGCGTTGGTTCTTCAGGCTGTCGCCTCGCGTTGCCGCCAGCTTCGGGCCCGGGGGGGGCAAATTAATTAATTATTTTATTTTATTTTATTTTATTTTATATGTGCTAACGATATCGCCGGAGGGCGCCGCCCAAAATAATTATTTATTTTATTTTCGGTGCTAGCGATATCGCCGGGGGGGGTACTGTTTGCTTGCCAGGGTTATCCCTAATGTTTTTGCCTGCCCAACAGCGGTCGTTGTTGGTTTTTCAGAGCAGTTGCTGTTGGGCACAGTACTCTTTTTGTCCGTACCCATTTCGGGCGTCAAAATCCGGGACGAAGCCCCGATGTTCCCATCAGGGCGTTTTTGGGGCGATGGGCCCTGCGACCTTGGCGTTGCAGTTCTTTCAGAACGGGCGATTGTACATTCTTCGGGCCCCGGGGCCCTCACATATCGATCCGGCTCGAGAATTGCAGCAGAGAGTTTTCACGATGTTGTTTTTTTTCCGTGACGTCGAGGAGGAGTAGGAGGAGGAGGAAGAGGAGGAGGAAGAGGAGGAAGAGGAGGAGGAAGAGGAGGAAGAGGGGAAGAAGGAGGAGCAGAGGGAGGAGAGAGGGAGGAAGAGAGGAGGAGGAGGAGAAGGGGGAGGGCGAGAAGGGAGGAGGAGGAGAGGAGGAGGATCATAAGGAGGAGGAGGAGGAAAAGAAGAAAAAGTAGGATGAGGCGGAGGAGGAGGGGAATATCAGGCAACGGGGGCTCGATCGAGGGCTGCAGGCAGGGGGCTCATACGGGATATCTCTAAATTGGCCCCCTTGGGGCCCCCAAGGGTGCGTCAGAGGTGTGCATCAGTCTTCGACTAACCGGTTGTTCCCCTCCCCGAATTAAGACGAAGCCAGGACGAGGATCAATTCGGGTGAGAAGAAATCCAGACTCTCTGAAATGTGGCGGCTCTGCAGGATGTATCGGGCGCCGCAGCCTTCTCAGAGCGATCCTCAACGCTCTGAGGGCGTGCCTGAACGCTCTCGGACGGATTCATCATCGTCCTAGTCTTGCCCGATGAATACAGCAGTCGCCCTCGAATACGTGGCCAAGGGTCATTGTTGAATGGGTGCCGACGTGTTCACTGAGGTCTCAAGGAAGGCCACGGTGTCGATGGTCAGGTGATGTTCAAAAGTTCCTCTCGTCGAGAGGAGTTCGCGAAGCATTCTACAGTTTCGATGGAGATAGGAAAGCATTCGAATCTGATCTGGCGCGGAGGGATGACACGTGAGGGACGCGCCTTGCCCCACGCGGGTCGGCCTCATTGGCTGGACACCGTGCGCCTCGCCTCGCCTCGCCCCGATCTATCCATGCGCCACTGCCCCCACCCCCCCGCACGTCTGGCTTGCGCCGCTCCCCGCTCCCGATTCCGTCCAGGTTCTGCCCCTCTGACGGGGCCTCTGTCGCATCTGGGAGTTGGCGTGGGCGGGCGGACTGCGATGGTGCACGAGGCAGTTCTCATGTGAGGGCGGCCATGATCAGACGTTTGGACGCGTTCGAGGTGAGGATGGGTATGGGTGGGGACAGGAAAAGTCGTGTGGGGGCGGAGAGGAACACGCTGGAACAGGGGGCGAGGAGACGCTTGGATGAGTTGGAGGGTGAGGAGGCTTGAAATAATTTGAAGGACATTGGGGGGGGGCGGGGAAGGAGTATATGGGAGGGGCGGGCCATCTTGGCATTGCTACTGCATGAAACACTCGTGCCCAGGAGCCCAGCCAGAACAGGCTCCGGATTCTCCTCATTCAGCATGTCCCGCTTGGGTCCTTCCTCGTCAGCATCGGACTTCGCGCACTTGGGATCAACGTCGTCTGCAAGGAGCAACATCAAGGCTCTCCTTCGCGCCGCTTCTTTTGATGTTCGCGCGGGCTGTGGGCGCGGTTTGTACGATGTACGGATGTACGGATGTATCAGGGCGCTGCAATCGCCACGCGTGGTTGCAAGAGGCAGGTCGAGCGCAACCTGACACGCATAGTGACATACTTACACACAACATCACAAACAAACACAACAGCACACAACAACACAACAACGCACACACACACACCACACACACGCACGCACGCACGCGCACGCACACGCACACGCACTCGCACACGCACAGGCACACGCACGCACGCGCACACGCGCACTCGCACTTGCACACGCACACGCACATGCGCACGCACACGCGCACGCACACGCGCACGCGCACGCACACGCACACGCACACGCCTACGCGCACGCGCACGCGCACGCGCACGCGCACTCGCACGCGCACGCACACGCGCAAGCGCACGCACACGCACACGCACTTGCACACGCACACGCGCACGCGCACGCGCACGCGCACTCGCACGCGCACGCGCACTCGCACGCGCACGCGCACACACACATACACACAAACACACGCGCACACGCGCACGCGCACGCACACGCGCACGACAGATACACACACCACACACACCACACATTCATACACATACGCACACATATACATACACACATACAGTTGCACACATTCACACATACACACATACACGCATACACATACACAGATACACACATACACAAGTACACACATACACACATACACACATATACACATACACACATGCACACATACACACATACACACATGCACACAGTCACAATACATACACATACACATACACATCCACACATCCACACATCCACACATCCACACATCCACACATCCACACATCCACACATCCACACATCCACACATCCACACATCCACACATCCACATCCACATCCAGATACACACACATACACATACACATACACATACACATACACATACACATACACATACACATACACATACACATACACATACACATACACATACAAACATACACCATACACATACACATACACATACACATACAAACACACACACACACGCACGTGCACACACACATTCACACACAAACACACACATACACACATATACATACAGAAATACAGAGAGACAGACAGAGAGACAGAGACAGACAGACAGACAGACAGACAGACAGACAGACAGACAGACAGACAGACAGACAGACAGACAGACAGACAGACAGACAGACACGCACACACACCCACACGCTCACGTGCAAAACGTGTCCCTTTCACACCTGCTCCCCCCCACCCTTTACTTGCACTCAGGGGTCGAGGAAGTGCACGGACGTGGCGAGGTCTCGCCCAGTGGGCTCTTCGTGGCCGCCCGTGGGCTCTTCGTGAGCGCCTCGCGCGCCGGGTGGGCGCCGCGAGGCCTCGCGTGGCGCCCGCCCGCGGTGGCCCCGCGGGAGCCCCGCGGGCCGCCTCGTGCGCGGGGCGGGCGCGGCGAAGCTTCGCCCTTGGCGCCCGCCCGTGGCCGCCCCGGTGGGCGCCTCGTCGGCGCCACGCGGGCAGCCCCGCGCGCGGGGCGGCCGTCGCGGGGTTTCTCGCTCGAGGCCCCGCCCGTGGGTGCCCCGTGGGCGCCTCGTGCGCCGGGTGGGGCCCAAGCTTACACAAGATTTTTAGGACACGCGCGCACACCGAGATGCAGATGTATAGATCTAGATCTGCACATACACATCTACTCACAGACGCATATGTATGCATACATTTTTATACACATATATATATATATACATACACCTACACACATCTCTATATATATATATATATATACATACAAGACTGCAGTGGCGCTTCGCGCCATGCACCTTGGTCCTTGAAGTTTGGCATGCAGGCGGAATGGCAGGAAGGTCAAGCCGATAATTTAGCGATAACTCCTTTGTTGCCTTCATGCTTCTTTTTTCTCGTTCTCGCCATAACCTGCGCATTTTCCCCATCCTCCTCAGCTCTTTTTGCGGAGGCTCCTCCTTGGAGAGCCTCTGGGGGCCTCACAAAAATTGCAGGCTTTCTTAAGGCCATCTGGAGGCCTCCCGGGCGTGTTCTGGAGGTTCTGGGGTCTTCTTCGGGCCACCCTGCCTCCAACCGCGGTCTCCCTGAACGACCGGGTCACCATTTGGAATGCTTCGGAGGGTGTCTTGGGGCCGTCTTGGGCCGCCATGGGGCTCTCTTAGGGTCATCTTTGACCCCTGTTGTGCCGTTTGGGAGCTCTCTTGGACTGCCTGGAATCCCTTTCGGATGGTCGTGGGGCGATTTTGGAGCCTTCCAGGCGGCTTCGGACGCCCAGAAGACTGCCGTATTGGAGCGTCGGGAAGTCGAAAAGAGAATAACCCCAACATTCACCAAAAACCAGCTGAAAATCAATGTTGCTTGCCCCTTGGGCCCTTCTTGGGTGTGCTCTTGGAAGCTTTTTGAGGCCTTTGGGGCCGTCCTGGAGGCCTCTTGGGCCATCTTGAGGTCACGTCGGTCACTCTTGGAGCGCTCTTGTGCTGTCTTGGGGGTCTCTGGGACGTCTCCGATGACCTCCTGATCGCCTTAGGTGTGCTGGGAAGGCTTGGCAAAACGCCCTGCGAGGCCCGGGCGGCCGCTTCGAGGCCCGTCCGGAGGGTCCCAGAGCCCCAGGTCCCGGGAGTCCGGTTTTTTTTTTGGGGGGGGTCCTTCCGCCCGGGCTTATACAAATATAGGAATTGGAACACACACATATATATATATATATGTACGTATGTTTATATATACACATACTCACATACATACATATACACATATGTTCCCCAACGAGGGTACGTAGACTCTACCACCCTCCCGAGCCCTGACCTGCCTATTGCAAATTACACATCATTCCGCCTCATCGTTCGGTTCAAGATGAAATCACACCATCTCATCCAAGCCACTATCGACCCCCTCCCCCATCTCTGTCAGAAAGAATTGCGCGCATACATGTTTATCTCAAACGATATGTACTGCCCTTCGGTCCATCCCGACACCGTGCCTGGGTTGTGGGTATAAAGCTTATTGGATGTTCGTTGGGATCTCGTGGGGGGCTCTCGGGGGCCTCTTGGAGGCAGTTTTGAAGTCTCGTGGGGGTCCTTTCGGGGCCTCTTGAGCGCCTCTTGGGGCCTCCTGGGGGCCTCTTGGGGCGGAAGGCTCGGATTCTCGGGTCGTGCTCTCTCTCTCTCTCTCTCTCTCTCTCTCTCTCTCCCTTGGCCCTCTTTTGCGGCTGTCTTGGGGTCCTCTTGGGCCGCATTGCGCGCCTCTTGGGCCGTCTTGAGCGTTTCGCCAGAGATGTCTCGGAAAATGGAGATGTTGAGGTCGTTGGTTCAACCGTCGGCACTACAAATATGGCCGTTTCGCCTGAGACATCTTCTAACACATGGGATGTGCCAAGAGTTGGTTTGAGACATCTTTTCGGAGCGCCCTTGGACGACCTCCAAGATGGCCCAAGAGGCGAACTGATTAAATAACATATGTGTTTCAACACTTCGGTTTGCCAGTATGCGTTTCGCTGTGGGCATCCCCCTAACCAAGCCTTCGAAAGGGGTCCTAGAATTCATCATATCATGATGGACACATCGATGCATGGTAGGGCCTGTAGGGTTAGGGTCTGTAGGGTTAGGGTCTGTAGGGTTAGTAGGTTCTGTAGGGTGAGGGTCTGTAGGGTTAGGGTAGCTATAGTTAGAGTCTGCAGGGTTAGGGTCTGTCGGGTTAGTAGGTTCTGTAGGGTTAGGGCCTGTAGGGTCAGTAGGGTATGTAGGGTTAGTGCTTGCAGCGTTAGAGCTTTCAGGATTAGGGTCTGTAGGGTTAGAGTCTGCAGGGGTCGTGTATGTAGGGTTGGTAGGGTCTGTAGGGTCAGGGTCGGTAGGGGTAGGGTCTGCAGGGTTGGCGTCTGTAGGGCCACTGTTTGTAGGGTTAGGGTCTGTCGGGTTATTAAGGCCTGTAGGGTTAGGATCTGCAGGATTCGGCTCTGTAGAGTTAGGGTATGTATGGTTAGAGTCTGTAGGGTTTGGTCTGTAGGGTTAATCGGGTCTGCAGGATCAGGGCTCACAACGTCGCGATCTCGGGGGTCGTACCTTAAGACGTCTCATGCTACACGTGAGCCTTTCGGCCGAGACATCCTGGGAACGTGGGGAGGTTGGCCGTGCGGGCCTACTCGTCGGAACTTCGAACATGGTTGTTTCGCCAGAGACGTCCTCGAACCAATGGGATGCGCCACGAGCTGCCCTGAGACATCTTTTCAGAGCGCTCTCGGATGACCTCGGCGATGGCCCACATAAGCGAATTGCGTAAACATAATCATGTGTGTCAACACGTTTGTTCAAGAGTGTTCGTTTCGCTTGACACATCCACCTACACATGCTTTCGATCGGGTCCTCAAGCTCATCCTTTCATGATGCACATGCAGATCTAGGCTCGGGCCTGTAGGGTTTGGGTCTGTAGGGTTCGTAGGGTCTGTAGGGTGAGGGTCTGTAGGGTGAGTGTCTGCAGGGTGGGGTTCTGAACGGTTAGGCTCGGTAGGGTTCGAGTATGTAGGGTTAGGATATGTAGGGTGAGTAGGGTCTGTCGGGTTAGGGTCTGTAGTTTTTGAGTGTTCAGGTTTAGGGTCTGTAGGGTTAGAGTCTGCAGGGTTGGGGTCTGTAGGGTTACTAGGGTCTGAAGGGGTAGGGTCTGCAGGGTTGGGGTATGTCGGGTTAGGGTCTCTAGGGTTATTGTCCGTAGGGTTTGGGTCTGTAGGGTTAGTAGGGTTTGTAGGGTTAAGAGGGTCTGTAGGGCTTGGGCCTGTAGGGTCAGAGTTTGTAGGGTATGTAGGGTTTGTAGGGTTTGTAGGGTTAGGGCTTGCAGGACTAGGGCTTGTAGGGTTCGGTGTCTGTAGGGTTTAGTCTGCAGGGTTGGGGTCTGTGGGGTTAGTAGGGTCTGCAGGGTCAGTGTACTGGCAAACGTAGGAAGGAAGACTCTCGAGGTGCCCAGAGAAGAGAGAGGATACTCAGAAACATGCTTGCGAATGTTCGGGGAGCGTGTGTCCATAGGTATCCGTTGTGAACGTGCGGAGAGCTCGCGCACATGGCATTTGATCGTGATGATGCTGTACGTTCTTGCGCAACTCATCGCTTTTCCGTGCCTCCCCCCGTTCATGTCAGGAACGTTTGTCTGGAGCCCCATACACAAACACACAAGTCAACACGCTCGCTCACAAGACGAAATCACATCATCCGCCTTAGTGCTTCAAGTCATTCTGCATATAAGCATACAGCGCCCATGCTTTTGGAATTCGAATCTCAGAGGTTTTCTGCTTGCGCGCTTGCCCAAATCCGATGAACACCATGTGGTTCTAACAATCTCGTCCAGAACCCGCATTCTCGTTTCAGCACGCGGTGCATCAGCGTTGATCTAGCATGCGCCCAGTGGCTGGAGTTGGCAGGAATTGCCAAGGGTTTGGTTCTGGTTTGCCAGAGGGTTGGCCGGGATATTTTCTTAGATAGGCAGTTATTTCCACAATATGGTCGTAGTAGTCGGCGATGCATAAGCCAGTGAGAACGTCCCGTCGAGTGCCCACGCTTGAAGGCCGTTCGGCCGCGTCCCTCGAAACATCCCGCATGGTGCATCCAGGGCTTGTCGACTCGTCGAGTATAACCTTCTCGCGAGCGTTGCTTGTGCTTGAGCTCGCAAGTAGCGCGTGCATTAGGGCGCAGTGCGCTCCATCTCGTTTATGTTTGTGCGTGTGTGTGTGTGTGTGAATATGTGTGTGTGCGTGTGTGTGTGTGTGTGTGCGTGTGTGTGTGTGTGTGAATATGTGCCATATCTGTCGCCCGTGCCCCGTGCGCAGTCTGGTCCGGGTCCACGCCGAGTGACCAGGGAACGGGACAGGAGGGAGGCTTTCGGAGGGAAGCCAGGGACGACAGGGAAGAGAATTGGGAGGGAAGGACGGCTGGGTGGGAAGGTGAGGGGGGGGCAGCCAGAGGGAGAATCATAATCAGGAGGGAGGGAGAGAGGGACATCATCAGGTGTCCCCCAACTCACCCTTCCTCGTCCTCCTCCTCGTCCTCCTCCTCCTCTCTCCGCCTCCTCCTCCTCCTCCTCCTCCTCTCCTCCTCCTCCTCCTCCTCCTCCTCCTCTCCTCCTCTCTCCGCCTCCTCCGCTCCTCCTCCTCCTCCTCCTCCTCCGCCTCCTCCTCCTCCTCCTCCTCCTCCTCCTCCTCCTCCTCCTCCTCCTCCTCCTCCTCCTCCTCCTCCTCTCCCCCCCTGTCGTCACCCGTGGGCCGAGCAGAGGCCTCGGCCAGCACTGGCGCGCGCGGCGGCTCGGGTCGGTCGCCCGCCGGAGGAGGAGGAGGAGGAGGAGGAGGAGGAGGAGGAGGACCAGGCGGAAGAGGCGGAGGAGGAGGAGGAAGAGGCGGAAGAGGCGGAGGAGGAGGCGGAGGAGGCGGAGGAGGAGGAGGAGGACGAGGAGGAGGAGGAGAAGGAGGAGGAGGAGGATGAGGAGTTGCGAGCCGCTCGACGGGCCGAAGGTGTCCACGATCAGCGACGGGCCAGGGACGACCTACATCAAGTTCAATGACGCCGGCGCCAGCCAGATCGACATGTACGCGGCCAGCAACAGGAACCCTGCCTTTCAGGAGGGGAAAAAACACACAGACACAATCAATCGTCTAATTTGTGTGTCCCAGGGCCCCTTCAACCTTTCCGCCCCTTCGACCCTCGCCGTCCCCTCTGGCAGCGCTCCCGGGCAGCGTCGGCATTGGCCCTGCCCACGCGCCGGGAGTGCAGGCCGAGGGTGCTGAGCCACCAGCGGTCCGCCGCAGTGTCAGATCAGTGATATCGTCGTTCCCAGTCTGCTGCGAGGGACCCGCCAGGCCAGGATGCTGATGCGGCAATCTCGGGAAGGAACTGGGATGGGCGTGGGGGTTGCTAACTGGATAGGGGTGTTAGCAGCGGACGCCTGAGGGGTCATACCTGGCCTAGCCTAGCTCAGAGGTGGGTTACGCATGCCCCAAGTGGCTTGGGGGGATCAGACGACTCCGCTTAGTGGGCGGAGCCCACTTCGCTTGGATCCCCATCTCCCCAAAGCCACTTGGGGCATCAGCAACTCATTAATGAGCTAGATTTGGCCAAGCGCAACCCACCTCGGGATCCACTGATAACCCCCCCCTCCCCTGAGCACTCCCCGCGCCCATCCCATTAAGAATGCCCTCCCCTCCCTCGCCCACCCCTCTCCCTCCCGGCGGCCCCCGGGGGGCTCCCGGGGAGGACCTCGGGCTTTTGCGAGCGTGGCCCCACAGGGAGCGGTCAAGTTGCTCGCCGCCAGTGCGTTGGACGGAGGAGGAGGAGGAGGAGGAGGAGGAGGAGGAGGAGGAGGCCCAAGACGTATCCATGATGTTGCATCCCTCGCTCCAAGGTCCCGACTCATTGGCCCCTACAAGGAATTGATCTTACTGCTAGAAGTGCCCCATTGGACGGCAACAGTTGCAGAATCCTCAATCGTGCCAAAACACCATTCCTGGGATTCCAACTCCGCGGATCAACGTAACTGTTGCGTTCTGACCACCCTACATTTTGCCAGAACACCATTCCTTGGACTCCAACGCCGCGAACCAAAGTGACTGTTGCGCCCGAGCGATCCTGAGTCGCGCCAGCTCGCCAATCCTGAGACTTCAGTCATATGATTCCTTGAACTGGTTACAAGCTCTTCAGACAATTGTGCGCGGCGCTGAAGCGTGAGCCACGTTATCAAACATATTTGCCTCCCATCCTTGAAATGGTTGGACATGTGCGAAACGAGTGTGCGCGGCGCTAAGACGAGAGCCACCTTTAGCAACATAACCGCCCTCCATCCTTGGAGCCGTTGCCAATGTTTAAGCCTCAAGATCATACATGGTGAGGAAGTCTCAAACGAACCGCCCATCCTGCCCTACCGACACGCTTGGATATGCGACAGGGAGGAGATGTTTGTCAGCGAAATGGATGGAGGAGGAGGAAGAGAAGGAGGCGGAGGAGGAGCAGGCGGAGGAGCAGGTGGAGATTAAGGAGGAGGAGAAGGAGCAGCAGGAGGAGGAGGAGGAGGAGGAGGAGGAGGAGGAGGAGGAATAGGAGAGGGGCAGCCGCGAGCCGCAGACGGGGGCGGCCGGGCAGGGGGTGAGGCAGGGAGGGGTAAGGTGTGCTGCACGGGGGTCTGTCGCCACGTCGTCGGCAGTGTTCGCCGACGTGGTCCTGGCGTCTCGCTCGCTCGTCCTCGTCGTCCCTTGCCGTTCCGGGTCTGGTCGTCTGTGGTGTGCGTGGGGTCGGCGTGCCCAGAAGGTCTGGACAGGTGGGTACCCCTGCAGAGTGGCCCGGGGTGCGTTCTGAGCGGCTCTAGCGTCTGTTATCGACTCGGAGTGGGTTCCCGAAGAGACGGGGGGGACGTCAACCTGGCAGCACGCTCGCCCGTAGGCAATGCAGTCTTCATGGATCTGACGGGTGAGACCAGGTGACGATGTTGCAATCTCGCAGTGTTTCTGCCCCTCTCTCACACCACACCTTCTTGCCTTCAAACTTTGGCAGGGCAGACGCGTGCTCCGCGCGCAGCCGTTTTGGCCCAAGCTGCTTGGACTCGAAGCGGCGCTAAGCCTTGTGGCGAGCGAGGGGGGGAAGGTGAGAAGGAGAAGGTCTTCTCAGAAGGCGGCGGAGCCTCTCAGAGCTCTCCGGCCTGTCGAGAAGTTTCCTTTGCCTTCGAGGGAGGCTCAGAAAGCTTCTCAGGAGGCCGGGGGACCTCCGAGCCTTCTGAGAAGGTCCGCCGCTTCTCACCTCCCCCCGGGCTCGCCGCCGACGAGCCGCCCGAAGATCAGGAGCGCTCGTCCGCCCAGCATGCAGCTCCCGGCCCGCGCGCTGCTGGCGCTGTGCCTCTGCTGGTCTGCGGCCGCCTCTGGCGCCGCCGGCGCCGGCGAGAGGAACGCCTCTCAGGAGGGGGCCGAACGTGGACAATAGTTACGAACCCTGCGGCACAGGACGCTCCCCCCCAGGACCCCCCAAGCATTGGGAGGGCCTGGGTGGGCGGAAAAATGAGCCCCCCAAGCCAGCACCCATGCCAGAGTATCAGCGCTGATTTCGGGGGCTGGGGGGTGATCAGCATGCCCCTCAAAGTGCCTGAGGGTGCGCATTCTTGTTTGCCCATGCACTGGGGGCTCCAGCCAGGAGAAGCCCGCGGTCGCCAACAAGAGCGAGGCGCATGCGGCGGTCGCGGCCACCAACGAGAGCGAGGCGCACGCCTCGGAGGGCCGCCTGGCGTCGCTGCGGGGCGAGGTCCTCGCGGCCGTGGCGGAGATCGACGGCCTGCGCCACGGCTTCGAGCGCAACACGAGCAGGGACGCCGTTGAGCAGCGCGTGCGCGAGTTCGCCCAGCGCGCCAAGGGCAGCATCGACGAGCGCCGGGACGAGCTGGTGCTGCAGTTCCAGGGCAACATCTCCGCCGTCGAGCAGGCGGCGGCCGCCGCCGGCAACGCCACGGGGGCGGCGGACGCGGCCGCGTACAGGCTCGAAGGGTTGGCGGCGAGCCGGGGGGGAGGGGGAGTGAGGAGGGGCAGGCTCTCTCGGACGGCCAGGGAGTCTCCCGGCCTTCTGGGAAGATTTCTGAGCCTTCCCCGTGGCGGTCTCCTCTCTCTGCCGCCGCCTCCTGAGAGGGCCTTCTCATTCTCACTTCCCCCCTTCGCTCGCCGCCGAAAGAAGAGGAAGCCCGCGCGCCGCGCGGAGCTCCTCTTTCGGAGCTCCGCGCGAATAATCATACCTTTCGGAGCTCCGCGCGGATCTTTCGGATCCGCTCTCGCCCCCTGGCTCGCTCCGCGCGCCAAGGAGCGGGTGCCAGCGCCGATCCGAGAGAGCCGCGCGGAGCTCCGGAAGTTTAGGTTTATGCTGCTCCTCGCTTCCCACAGCCATGCAAACACATCGCAGAGGCCTCGCGCAGCGCGCAATAGTTGTGGTGGCTAGTCCACACGTCCGCCCCGTCAGATATGGGACGACGTTCGCGCGGTGACGTTCCGACGTAAGTCCGACGTGCAGCCGACGTGAGCGACGCAAAAGATGGGGTCGTCTTCGCTGACATGGGCGCGTGAGCTGTCCGCGTCAGGTCGTGCGTAAGCGCCCTCAGCTCCAGTGTGGCTTGCCGCGCTGGCGGCCCGCGTAAGCCGCCGCGTGAGGTCGTTACGCCACCTCGCGTAAGACCCGTTTTCGATCGTAGTTTACGTGGATCCGACGCCACCTGGGCCTCGAGTTGCCGCGCGAGGCTTCCAGGATTTTGCGCACACGTTGGGGGCGTTCGTGAGGGGAATGTGCCCATGAGGCTTCAGGCCCTGGAGGACTCCTCTGATGAGGACGGCGGTGGCCACTCCGCAGTCGGAGTTCCACCAGATCCCAGACCCTGGATTCTGCTCGGGACTCCAGAGACGGGGGTCAATGCAAACGGGGGGCAGTCAGAGCGCCGGCTCTTGCAGGATCCTGCATAGCCAGGGTCGCATTGCCCCAGGCTTGGGTGCAGGATCCTGCGGGATCCTGCAGGGCCTGACTGACCCGGGTTTGAATTGACCCGTGTCAGTAGATCCCCAGTCCTTATTCCCAGACCCCCGACGTCATTATTTTGTTCGCAATGTCGCCCTTCAGAGGTCTCGACCCATTCCCCTGGACAGGCTTCTCGTCCTGGGTCCTTGTTCGACGGTCCTGGGTCCCGGGAAGGTCCCGCGCGGGGCGAGACCAGCGCAAAATTCTTTCGTCGTGATTGGTCCTCATCCAACGGTTCCTTCTCATAGCGGAACAAGGAGTGACATAAACAGAACTACTCGGAGGTCCGCGCGGATTTCTCGGATCGGCGCTGGACCCCCCTCCTTGGCGCGCGGAGCGCGCCAGGGGCGGCGCCGGAGGCGCCGCCGGGGGGCCCCAGCGCCGATTCGAGCAATCCGCGCGGACCTCCGAGTTTTAATGTTTATGTCACCTTTTGTTCCCCTATCTTGGTCCTCGTCCAGTGGTTCCTTCTCCGACGCCCTTCCCGTCCCCGCAGGCGCCAGGTGGCCGAAGGGCTGGCCCACCTGCGGAGCCTCGACGAGGAGCTCCGGGCGGCCGAGGGCCGCCACGTGCGCAGCGTGCGCCGGGAGGCCGACCGCCTGAGCAGCGCGGCGCGGCGCCAGGCCCCTGGGGGGCAAGATCAGAGGCGACGATAGGGCCAGGTCGCCCAGGGGGAGCAATACCTGCATCCAGGGGCGCCGATGATCTATGTCTTCGACAAGGCTCCCGGGCGAATACGCGTAATGCCCGCCCCTGGGCCATTCGCCCCTGGCGTCGCCGCCGACCCTGGGGGCAAGAGCCTGTTTTTGTCCCAATCCCCTGGGGGAAGGCCCCTGGGCCCCTTCAGGAGGAGAAAAAACACACAGGCACAACGAATCGTCGATTCCCAGGAACATCTGGGAAAATATGGGAAGTGGGGGGGGGAAGACAAAAACCTTGTAAAATATGCGAACACATGGGGAGTCTTGTATTCTGTGTGTATTTATTTGAGTGTCCCAGGGCCCCTTCACCCCTGGGCCTCGGCACTGAAGGGAAAGGCCCCCGGGCCTCGGCACGAGCGAAGTGGGCAGGGAAAGA